ATTGTCGCACCATCCAATTCCTCCTATTACATTAAACTGAATTACTTATTACTAATTGCTGCCTTCGGCTGTCTTTAGACGAGGGGACTATTGGTTTTACATAATAGCTATATTTTCAATTATAGTATATCAGTTCTATCTTCTTGTAATATGATGTATATGTACATGTAACTGTTCTGTTTCACTGTGTCTTGAAAAAGGAGCGGATCGCTCCGAAAATATGACAACCTAAACTTGTCCAGACTGTTGGAATTACTTCTTTGCCCCATATTCTATTTTAAGTAATTCGTATCCTACGGACATACCTCCATTAGAATCCAGTGTTATATGGGATTTTACCGTCTATATTACTTCTTTGACCCATACAATGTATATGTATATAGTAACTACCAATTTTCCGAGGATTCTTTTATTTAAAACTTGCAACGTAAACAAAATTACATATGGGGTAACAGTTTAACCTGTATTACATATAGCAATGTGATTATCAATCGGTTTTACAAAAAATATGATTATCTTTATCGAATTGTGTTGTGATAGTACAATATAAAATCACGTTTCAATTGATAGAAGATACAATAAGTTTCTTAAATACGATATTTATTTAAACTTCATTGGTAATAAATGGATTAATTGACCATTCATTTCATGTTTACATACCCATCTTTAAACTATTGTAACGAAACAATGAGATTGCCTGCAGTGGGCACAGGCCCGATCGATCAGCTGATCGGCCGGTTGAGTTGACCCAGTTTTGGAATCGTCTAATTATGGCGTAAAGAACGTTCCAGTATTGATGGGAACTGTTTTGGCTCTTGAAATATAAATGTTGAGATCAACTGGTAATTTCATGACAATTTAATACTCTGTTAATCATTTTTACGAGCGTGGGTGAAATATTGTACTAGTGCATCGGGTCACGCACGCTAAATATAGCTTCATTTAACGAAGCACGTCTAGAGAAATTGGACGCTAATAAATTATTCTTATGTATTATTCAACATTTGTACAAACCGGTGTGATGTTCACTTTGACGAGATGAAGTCAATTCATCTATGTATCGCCTGGTTTGGTCATATTTGGTCACGGTGGCTGTCGTCCGTTCGTGTGCCGCCGTCAACTTTCGCGGCCATGTTTGCACTACTTGGTGTCGGCTACATATCGGAAGTCAGTCTTAGAGGGGTGCTATGTACCGATTTATATTATTTATAGCTCGGTTATAAATTGTTAATTCCTTCTAAAAGTGTTTTAGGTAATGGTGCACCATTTATTAGCCAAATAGTTTTATCCTTTATCGGGATTACTTTTCTTCACGCACGGTCACAGTGTAATTAGGATTGCTAGTGGGGCTAGCCAATCAAAACGCCGCTAGGCCACCGTTGCAGCCGAAGGGTATAAATAGGGGTGAGCATGGCGGCTCAGGGTCTCCGTTTCACCGGTACCGGGTAGGTATCCTTACGACAGCTCGCAAGATAGTAGTCTTATTCATACACCAGTATTCTAATTGTCAGTTATATTCTCTTATAGTTATATTATCTTAGCATAATAGAGAACTCACACCTTACTTTAAGAGTTTGGCTCCTAGTACTTTGAGTGGTGGCTCTTATAGTTATATACTCTTATAGTTATATTTTCTTAGCATAATAGAGAACTCACACCTTACTTTAAGAGTTTGGCTCCTAGTACTTTGAGTGGTGGCTCTTATAGTTATATACTCTTATAGTTATATTTTCTTAGCATAATAGAGAACTCTCACCTTACTTTAAGAGTTTGATCTCTGGGTAAATATTATCTCCGTTAGTCATGAGTTGCCTTTTAATCTAAGTACAGGCTAGGAAACTTACCATAATATTAGGTTGTAATACTCTGAATCAATGTGAAGTTGATTCCTCAATTCTAGTCGACTCATAGGATAATATATAGGATAATAGGATAGTGTTGATTAGTGTAGTGTTCGAGAATTGGAGAGTTGTCTCCCTTCTATCAATTATAAACAGAAATAGGGACTGTTGTGGTAACCTTCAACTTTATTAATCACCCGTCATACATATATTATGGTGAATGGATGTTGTGTAAATACTGAGTACATTCCTTATTGCCATTTATGTAATAATGGTCTCATTGTTGAAAATAGTGATTATTGTGATTCATTTGTACATATTCATCACATGTTGTGACTTTTAAATAGAATAATATATTTATAGAACTGGATTCCTGTCTTGAGTTTTCTATAAGTCTGAGTCACTACTGGCAAACTGGTAAATTAAGGCTGCAGCTGTAAGAGCACCTGAAGCATAGACTGGTAGTCTACACCCACAGACTTACAATAGTAATACGACTGGACAAGACCACAATACGGGCGTAGGTTTAGTCACGCTACCAACTCAATAGGAAAAACCACACCCGTGGCCAGGTTTTGTCACACTATTAAAAGGCAATAACCGCTTTTGTGCGAGTTGACTGGAGATCCACATGTAAAGAAAATGTTGGCATTACTTGTCAAAATAATCTTTTTCGACTTTCAACAGGGACGCCATTAGCTATTCTTTTATGATTTGAATGACTATGACTATATAATCGTATCTGTAGATGGGCCGTAAAATAAAAACAAAAGCTTATTAAGGAATGAAGTGGAGTCAGGAGACAACCTTGTGGAACTCCAGCTGTAAATACTGTCGGCATTCAGAACAATCATCGTTTACAATTCTTTTATTTTGATTAGTTAACAATAACAAAAATTTGGATATCTTAATTAGTCTCCTGTCTAAAGTGTGTAGAGTAATATTCTCTGTCGTGTAGCTGTGTACGGCGATTGTTTCGGCTGACTTTGAGGATCAACAGAGCACATGATTCCCTACTGATTATTATCGTCGTTTAGACATTATTTATAATCAAATAAGCTTACCTTATACTTAAGACGAGGTTTCTAATCAACTTAATTTTTGGTTATAATCATTATAAGACTCTCTTGTGCCAAGGGGTGTGGGCTACGAGATTGCAAGCTGGGTAAAAAACGGGACTTGGATAGAGTTTTACCCGGTCGGTCTATACGGTTAAACATAAAGCAAATTGCAACAGATTTTTAAAGATTTTTCAAAAGTTAAAAGCATATTAAACTATTTTATTTCGTGGATGTATCATTTTAAGTAGAAATGCCATTTTGACTGAGATATTATGAAATAAGGGATGAATTCGGGATAAATAAAACTCATATCGATCGTGACATTTTGATCGAACATTCATGATTTTGAACAACAATTGTTTGTTTGTTTGTTTGTTTGTTTGGGTTTAACAGCTCATCGACGCCTGTGGTCATTTAGGGCCATGGTGATTTATTTATTTATTTATTTTATTTTTTAAACAAATATGCGAGTAGCGAAGATAAAAAGGTTCATTTTTAAAAGTATTCGCATTGTATGTATAAATAATTGAAATAAAAAGGGGGTTAAAATAATAAAAAATAAAATAACGAATAGATGATATAGACTATGTGATATAAGTAACGTCAAAGAGGGTAAGGTGGGTTAAAAGACATCAGAGTCTGTAGAATTGACCGATGTCTTTCAAATAGTTAAAAAATGCCTTCGAGTCCACGGAACTGAAAAGAGTTTTCATATCCGGAACTCGAAAGTAGTTATCACGAATATTTTTAAAATGGGAATATTCTATTAATAAATGTTCCACTGTAAATGGAGTGTCACATGTTGAACAAAAAACAAATAAAATCCGATATACAACGTATTTACTCTCCCTCAATAACGCAGAGTGTGGAATATGGAATGTTCAGTGTAATTAAAAGTTGCACTTTAAAAAAAAACGTTTTGTTGTTTTCAGAATAGCGTGGTTACCTCATTCACAAATCATTCAAAATTGCACAAGATGAGTTTTTTACCAAAATTTGGGACACATTTGTGTATATTTGGGTCATATCAGGACGAGCAAGGTTTTGGTGGTGGAAAACAGGAATACCAAGAGAAATGCAACCAGCCTTACCAAAAATGACATTTTCAGTATGCATGCACAAGAAAGATGACATGTTTTGAAATCTAAGTCATTGTTTATGATATTTCAAAAATGTAACTAACTAAAATGAGTATTTCATTCAATTTGACGGGACGTAAAAAGAGCCCCAAATCCGCCCGGCTGGCCTCCAACTTTAGAGGTTGCTTGTTAGCTTAAGCCGATATTTTTAACTTAAGAATCTCTTCGGCCATTTTGATTGTCCGATATATTTGCAATATAATTATATACATTATGATTTATTTGATCTTGATATTTCCTGTGCTCAATGCTACCGATACAGGATTGATACACGTTTATACTCCAGTTTCAGTGCAGTTAGTGTTTTTCATTATTTTCTTGAAACAAAAACAAAAAAGAACGATTTTTTTTCCTCTAATGTCGATTTTGTGTGACTTTTTATCTATCATAATATAGATAGGTATGCACCATTTTGACGGGAAAGTTTTATAGCAATTAGTGGGTTTTTTTAATAATTGCTTTGATTAAGGAATGAGAAAATGAAAATCACGAAGCAATTGGTTTTTACTGTGCATTGTAACTCGAACATTTTTAAGTCGAGTGGAGATCAATGATTTTGTAAAAATGATAAAATTATATGTTAAAAACTCTCTTTAAATAACAAAATTAATCGAAATGTATTTCTGCCTTAAGTTATAGCTTACTGTTGGTAAAACCACGGAATTAGATGAGACTATATATCTAAGTCTGTGGTAAAACCACGGACTTAGATAACTAATTCCGTGGTAAAACACACTAAAATATACCTATTGAGTATCAGAGACGTATATATATAATATATACGTCTCTGATATGAGGACGTGAATTTTTACTTTTTCTAAAAAATATTCAGAAGTTTATATAGTTTTTGGGGCTAGCGTTTGTGGAATGAAATAAACTCAGAATGACTAAAAACACATTATTTTTAATTTTGTATTATACTTGCCGCGTGTCGGTTCTTATTTTAACTTGACCCGGAAGTTTACATTATCAACACACACATGGGACGGTGCTAATATAATAATTGCATATAAAGTTATGTCGTGTGCTAGGCCTATGTGGACGGTGTAATATAATAGAAAATGTATTACACAAGACACTAACTATCCCCGTATGCTTGTGACAAATGGCAGATATGAGACGCAGTACAAAACGCATTGCCGTCGCGGTATGTTTCAGCTTTTTTGTGGTCACCATTTTGTTGATATACAACTGGAAGCCAGGACACCACCACAAGAACCCCTTTGAAATTGACATCTACGACGATGGTGATTACGATGAAGATGCGAAGGATGCAATTTTACGTCGACATTTGATTGACTACCCTCTCTTCAATTTCAAAGTGCAGGTGAATACACATATACATTTTTTGCTTTAATTTGCACTGTCAACTTTTCAGAGGATGCACTAGTACCCCAAATCATCCCCTGGGTATAAATATGATGAAGGTTATATCGAGAAAAAACACTGTTCCCGAAACCTATGGTGCTGCGACTAGAGAAATAGAGCCCCAAACGTCGAAATAATTGCAATATTTCTATTAAGGTAGAAAGTCCCAGTGCTCTGTTTATCTCCAAAAAAGAAGAGTTCTAATACATGCTTAGCATATATGTCCGGTCTAAATACTATAACAGAGTTAAGGGACTCGCACAACTTAATCATTTACTAAGTTTTGAGCTAATAGCATCAATATTTGAGGTTCAACTCTAATGACAACTTTCTAGAATCACAGATACAAACCTGACAAAGGATTCAAAAGGCTTTTAATGGCATATAAGAGCACTACAGGTGTCTGCTTTTGACAACCGGAAGTTTACAAGCCAAACCGGTGAAGTGGGACGGGAACACCCTCTGACTTTTGACCCAATATCTATCCACCATGGCATATTTAAATCTAGTAAAACTAAGTTTTTCTAAAGTTCAATATTTCATTCAATGTAAAATAATTGTCAATAATAACTTGGATGCAATGAATAAGTGTATTTAACCGGAATGAATTTTAGGTAGGGGTTACAATCATATGAAAATTTGTCAGAAAATTCCATTTCAAATGTTTTCAATAATGTAGTAATTTCTTGGAATGAATTTCTTAATGCTTCTGAATGAATGTATTCTTCTAAATAGATTTATTAAATTTCTCAAGTTTGGCTCTCCAGGTATACGTAGGAAGGGGAATTTGAATAGAAACACGCTTATATTTCGTTTTGGCTAAATTTATGAATTAATTTTGTATATGTATTAAGGACTTTCCACCCTTCGTAATATACATGTTTTTCTTGTCGTATTTTCGTGTCGTCATTTCCGTATGGGTATCGGCATTCCATTATAGTAGTGTAAATTATAGTAACACCGGGTAAACAATAGTACACGTGCGTGACAATGATATATATAAACACACGATATCGAGACTGAACTTGGAAATGTGTAATCACACATACTTCAGATATAAAGCTTATGATACAAAGACATTAATTAACTCACGGGAACACACTGACATATGATCAGACAACTTCAAGAAGGTCGTATACGAGGCGCATGGAATGCAGACTGGTGTAATTTGTTTACCGACCTCACCTGTATGTATCAACGACAGGTGCTAACAGAAGTTCACAAGCTCTTGGACGCTACGACTTTTGTTGTCGAGCGAGTTACGCTCTGTCAGTAAAATCGGTTCACAAATGCAATTTCAATAACTCTGTGAAAATAGTGGTTTGTAAAATATCAAGATCCCTATAAAAAGCAAGTGCATGTGCGTGCACGTAATAACGGCATACCATGCGATAGCCTATGGTTACATATGTACCTGACATGTTTATATACCATGAGTAAGCGGGTTATGGAATGATGTCCAAAGTGTACATGATTGAGAGTAATTTTGTTCCATAAAAGAACAGGAAATTGACATTTAAATATAGTAATTTAAATTATTTCCGTCGTTTTTGGTATAGTAAAGAAAATAAGTGTCATTGTAATAATTCTATCCCTCGGCAAAAAGTTCCGATTTTTTTCAAGGTAGACAACTCTCACCAGGATCAAAATTATTGTAAAATGTAAAATTAATTAATTATAAAGACTTTGTTTGTATTTGGTTCAATTTTTCACTCTTTTTGAATGAAACTATGTGTCCTGTTTGCTTTTAGCTTGTATTTAGTAACTTTTATCCATACAATTTCAATAAAAACTGCTTTTTGTAACATGTTGTAGATATTTTATGATAAATAAAATATTTGTAGGGTTGATTAGCAATGTTTCTTTTCATTATTATATTGTTGTTATAGTTTTGAACAATGCCACACGCTCAAAAAATGTGAAAATTGAATTTGATAAAAATTCAATTTTTTGGTATTTTTTACAATAATATCCACTTTAACGGAATACTGAGATTTTCATAAAATCATCTCTACATAGTGACATAACCATTATGTGAAACTTTCATTGAATTCTGTTGGCTAATTGCGAAAGGGTGGAGCCTCCTTAACCATATTTGCTTAATATCTAAAGGTGGGGGTCAACATTTGGCCCCAACTTGGATTTCGATTATTCTTTTGCCATATGTAGTTACATAAATATGATCAATAACTGCATAAATGGTTAATCATAAATGCTATTGATAACTGTGGTGGACCTCCTTGTATAACACCAGGTTGAGTGATGGGGGTATCCCATCAAAATGATAGATAAATGTCACAGGCGAATGTTATTTTGAAAATGAATTATGATAGTGTACAGTGTTTACAGTTACTGTTATTTTGATAATAAATATGTCATATTGGTATATATGAAGTAAGCGTAGTGATACTTTTAATTAGAAAAACATGCAAAATTTTCACAAAATTAAGAATATAATCAACATTGTCAACTTGCCTATATATAGTTACAATGGTTGTCTATATTTTAAACTTCTTTAAAAACTTTCCATATATGTATTCTGTCTACTGAATCATTTTTATGTAATATAAAAACCGGTAAAGTACTTTATTAGCATACCAAACATGATCAATGGTTAATATGGTAAATACCGATACATTTTCTGTTTCTGTATCATACCAAAACACTTTATTATATTACGCATGTTTTAAAGTTATGTGCAGCAGTTATAACTCATGAATACGTAGTCTGCCAAAGTAATCTTTCCTCTGGAGAACTACTTAAGGTTGAGATTGTGTTATAGAAAAAGATATTCAATATATAAAAACAATAAAATAATCTTAATAGTAAAACTATTATACACTTTATTATACTCCCTACAACAAAGTTAGGGGGTATACTGGAATCAGCTTGTCTGTCTGTCTGTCCGTCTGTCGAAAAAGATTGTCCGGACAACTCCTTCTAAAATAATGGACCAATTTCAGCGAAAGTTTCCAGATATGATAACTACCACCTCAAGTTATGCATCCAGGTATTATGTTTTCATTTTGATCCTTTTTTAACAAAGTTATGGCCCTTTGATGAAAAATTCTTGTCCAGACATGTGCTCTTAAACTAAGGGGTCAATTTCAACAAAAGTTTTCAGATATAATAACTTCCACCCGATGGTGTGCATCCAGGTATTATTTTTTTCAATATGACTCATTTTTTACGGAGTAATGCCCTTTGTTTAAAAATACTTGTCCTGGCAACTCCTCTAAAACTATGAACCCATTTGTTTACGGAGTAATGGCCCTTTGTTTAAAAATACTTGTCCTGGCAACTCCTCTGAAACCATGGAGCCAATTTCAACGAAAGTTTACAGATATGGTAACTGCCCCCTGACATTGTGCATCCAAGTACTTGTTTTATTCCGAACTTTTAAAAAGGAGTTATGGCCCATAGTAGAAAAAGAACCTTTGTCTGCCTCATAAACTACTGGGTCGATTTCAATGAATGTTTACAGATATGGTAATTACCCCCTGATGTTGTGCATCAGGGTACGTGCATCAGGGTAGTACTTTTTCATTTCAAACCTTTTTAAGGAGTTATGGCCCTTTGTTAAAAAACTTGACAACTCTTCCTTAACTACTAGGACTACTTAAGCAAAAAGGGTTCATCTGGGCTAACAAGTTTTGGTATGGAAGTATGTTTTGGAATGGGGAGGGAGTACAGGAAGTATGTTTGCTTAAATAATGCAGGGGGGGGGGGGGGGTTGAACTATGGATTACTTTGCAATGCTTTGCCTTAGTTTGCCTTTAGCTTACAGTTCTTGGTTTATATAGGATTCGGGGTATTAGTAAGTCTTTGGCTTACAGCTTAGTTGTTATTTTATTTGGCCTATTGCCCATTCATTAAACAAAATATGGAGGAATACTACATCATTTTATATCGTTAAATCTAAACAAATAAAGCAAGGAAAGGTATCCTTGTCTGACTCCCCATACACAATTTTTATTTCAGCACATTTGATTTTTGTGACCTTGAACGAAAGTCAAGGTCATCAACGTTAACAAAATTGAAATCCATTCACATGAACAACCTACTTGCCAAATATCAAGACCGATGGACTTTTGGTCATGAAGAAACACAGTTAAAGGAAAAGTGGAAAGAAAGCTGTGTTTTTCTTTTTTTAATCAAAAGTGTTATATGACAAATTTACCGGTTGTCAATTTTCTTGAAATTCCTGACGTTGAAAGATATTATTGGTTGCTAACTTTTAAGCAAGTATGAAATATAGACTGGTTTTAGGACTATGTAAATTAACGTGTGGAAAATGGGAATTATCTCATTAGTAATGAAATTTCACATACTTTTGTGCTTAAATCTTCAATAAAAAGAACAATTCTTTCTTGAAATAGTTTAATATTCGGTATCAAAATAACAGTTGGATTATGTTGCACACGATGATGAAATAATTTTATAGTAATTATGCCATTTAAATGCTCTAGGAGGAATTGTATTACCGCACCTTTAACACCCACACAGGTGTAAGTCAATGAGGTCCCATTTATCCTAAAATGAATTTTGAAAATAACTGTTCCTGATTTAAGCTTCCTATACCCATACCTTTTTGTATTTATCTTGTTTTGAAATTCCAAGCGGGGGCCGACGCTAATGTTAAATCTCCATAGGCGTTGACCCTAACTTTGCATTGTACATGTGCTTTGTGTACATGTTTTGTTAATTAAACTGTGGATAAAATCAACATCAACAGATCTACTTGTTTACATCATTTATTGGTTTAATTTTACACATTTAATGAATGTACAATATAGATCTAGATATATAATGAAATTTAGTCCACAGCAGCTGTACATATGTCAAGATGATATAACAATAGATTTGTATAGTATACATGTGGTCACAGTACAATGTTAGCACTACATGTATCAGCTAGCAATATAAACAGTTTATGTAGAATATGCAGAAGAGAGTCAGAGAAAGTGTCTTATTTAAATCATCATTAACAACACTTAGAGAGCACACACTGGCTGTATCAATATCCTAAACTCTAATATCAGTGCTGAAGGCTCAGCTTCGACCTCTGGCGTTTGACGATACTGATCAAGTTCTCTGCCATTGAACGTGGTAGACCACAGGTGTTTGGCTCCTCCCGTAAAACAGCCTTCACTATGTTTCCCGCAGACAGGTGTCTGTCAGTCATGGCCCGAGTTTTCACCTACAACAAATCAGAACTAATTAGCTCAAATCTATTATATACCAATAATTATATATAATAATCATAATCATATATATATATAAACACAAACCAAAAATAAATACAACTAAATATCACTGTCAAGTCAGCACATGTATGTTCTGATATTCACTATTGAGAGCTTACTTCCAAAGTTCTGTTTAATCCTGTTTTTTAATTATTTACAGATTAAGTATGAAATTAAAACATACTCATGTCCCTTCTCAAAAAAACTTTAACATTTCCAGATTAAATGATTTCAGTGATTTTATAATTAGAAATTTTAGAGATGGTATGCAGCAAATTTTGACTTGATTTTTTATACATACCTTGCTCATGACCTTTAGCCTCTTGGCCAGACAGGGTATACCGGAGTGAATATGGTCGTTTAGGCCCCTGGTGAAGCTCTGGCCTCGCTGGATGACGCTTGCTGAACATTGCACCTTCCGGTTTCGGACACTGCACTTCCAGGTGGTAGTTCTGGCTGAGGACCTCTGAAAAATATAACAGTTCATACTGAAAAAACTAGTATAGAATGAGTCTGAGTCATGTATGGACTTGCCAATTTCAATTATGAAAATGCTGATGGTATAAAAGTTTGTAAAATATAGTTTTTGGATTACTCAGTTCTTGTATCATAATCTAAATATATTTGCAACCATCAAATTATAAACCAGCTTTATTTAGCCACTTGAAACCAGAAAATTCAATAAGGAACCTGAATTTCTTAAAGCAGTATAGGAGTCTGTAAAAACTGGTTTTCTTTGATTTCTGTTAATTTGAATTTACAAAAATAATGTCACATTTTTCACAAATACTTACAAATACATTTAGAATGCGAAATATTTACTTTCACTTAAATTGATTTAAATTGATTCCTTGACCTGAAACCATGGTTCTGGATCTGCACGTAGTTGTATGATAAACTCTGACTAATATCTTTGTTGACTCATCATCAGACTTCAGCTCATGATCATGAGTGACCTTTGACCTTGTATGATCCTTGACCTTTGACCTACGTACCTTGACTGTATAGGAATATCCGTCACTGGATACCAGTTTCCTGTGTCCGAAGCTGGTGCCGTTCTCTATAATTTCATACCGAGTCTCTTCGTCAAAGAACAGGTTGGTTGACCTCATACTAGGAAACCTGAATAATGAAATATCATGATTACTTTATGTGTGATATCGCTAATTAAGTCTATAGGTTATGTAACTAGGTTTTTATGACAGTATTTTCTCCATTGTGAAATATTTCCATTAATACACAAGAATCAATGCATTAATGAAACTTTATTGGGAAAACGATAATTAAGGTTAAAGAGTCCCATGCCACTGCACTATGATTTATCTCCAGTGAAAAAGAGTTCCAATTTGTTAAACATTTTTTTCTGACTTGAATTTGCCATTTTATGGCATGGTTAATTACAGAAGAAATACAGGATACATATTTTAATTAACTTTTTCATAAAAAGTAATTTCCACATAGGTTCAATTCCCAATCTTCTTGATAAAGCAGGGAGATAATCCACCTGGTGATTTAGCTACTGATGATGATAACTAAGATATAATCAATGTATGTGTATATATTATGGTGGAATATGTAATGTGGGTGAGATAATGTTGGAAAAATAATTAAAAAGGGTGGCTTTGGTCCTATTGAATTATTTTTCTGACATTTTCAAACTAAATTCAGAGGACACAGAATATAATTATCTGACCAACAGACTCGTTATTTCAAGCCTCTACATAGTGATATATATATATATAAGTATTCAGTGGAACATTCTGATTGTACTCACGTGAGCTTGACAGGATTTAGAGATTGAAAGCTAGGTTAAATTGTTTTTTGTTTGTTTGCTTGCATTGTTTGCTACCAAAAAATAAATGTGTTTACTCTCAATTAACAAGGAAACAATAGTATGGCTCCTTGTTTACATTTGAAAAACATATACAGGGAAGGTTTTTGGAAGAGTGCTGCAGTTACAAAAAATATACATGGTCTGTTGGAAAATAATTATGCACATTAATTAATTAACCAATTAGAACTGTTGTTTCATAACAGGGTAGAAATTCACTGTACTATGACCTGTATGACGTAGAAACTTAAACCGTTCACCACTGTAGACCATAATGGACTTATCCAGATCAATGCATGGTAGAGTTTACTTTACTTTAATTTACATAGGGGGGATAGATAGGGTTAATGTGTTTGGCCTTTCAACCTAAAAGCATGTCAAGTGAGGTAACTCTTGATACATAATGTATTTTCAGTGTTTTAATGTTAAAGCTCCCAATTTGTGGCAAATCTTCAAATGTACACTTCAGCTTCTAAAAGCCTTATTTGTATGTATACAACTTACCAAAATGTGTCGTCTTCAGAGTCTTCAGAATCATCTTCCAGGAAAGCTTTGTCCATACGGCGTGGGGATCGGTCATCAGCCCTACACAGGAAATAACAATGTCAATATAGGCAATGAGTCTTGTAAAATAGAGTGGTTACTTATATGTATAGATAGTTATGGCAATGCTAAGTAAATGAGTGAACATTATAGATGGCCTAGATGACAAGTTTGTCATTTAAAGGTAAAAACAAGCGGGACAGTTTGAGATATATATATAGGGATAATATTTTCTGTTTAATAATATCACGACGTGAACGTTAGAAATATTTTTCTGGATCACAGAATTGTGAAAATATTGCCCCCATGATTTATCAGTTTTTGCTATATAATGATAACTGGTGATTTTGTTTCATAATGACACTACTAATGAAATTTCTTTATAATTGATAATGAGACTATATACATCTGTATATTTAACTTTAAATATATCCTCCAGGATATGATATTATCAACCTCTGATTGATAATTGCCTAATTTGCATACAACTGACGCCGCAAATTATAACTGAACTTACATGTGGACGTCGTCCTTGTGTTCCACAATAAAGGTTGCGTCCGGGGCAGGGACTCGCGGATTCCATCTGAACTTGCGGGGACACAGTGGCAGGAACAATGGTCTGAATACTGGTGCTCTCTCAACCTCTGTCTCATCAGACTGAAATACAAAAATGATACAACTGTCATATTAATTCAAGTACTATTTAATATGATGAACAGCTAATTGCAGAATTAGTGCATTATTTCTGTACTAACTGTATTATATATATATAGGTTCAATGTTGTGAATATTATTGTCAAAAAGCAAAATATACTATGCGATATTATAAATTTCGTAGTGACAATTTCTTGCATGTACCAATATACGGGCATGAAATTGGTTCATTATAAATGTCAAATTACGTGTAGTTTATTCGTGAATAGTGTTTGGCAGAAATTTAAATGAAAGTCAATTGAATTTCACAACAGATTATATAAAAATGTACTGATCGTATACTTCTTTCAACTTTACTTGAACTACCCCTTTACAGTATATATTCTAAATTATATATAACGTACCTCATCTGAGCTTGAGCTTGAGCTGATCTCTATTTCCATTGGACATCTGCGTGCACGTATAGGTGACCTCTCAAGCTGTGATGAGTCTAGTACCTCCCTCCGTGGGGATCTGGCTGGTTTCTTTATCAATGTGGGTAAGGCTGGTCCCTCTGCCAGGGTAGGAGGGACTGGTTCCTGTCTCACAGTGGGTGTGGCTGGTCCCTTCCTCAATATGGGTGTGGCTGGTTCCTGTCTCACAGTGGGTGTGGCTGGTTCCTGTCTCACAGTGGGTGTGGCTGGTTCCTGTCTCACAGTGGGTGTGGCTGGTTCCTGTCTCACAGTGGGTGTGGCTGGTCCCATTCCTGGGCGGGGACAATAGTTGCAGTACCATGTTTGAAGACCCTCTGGTTCACCTCTAACTGTAGCTTTGTAGATCCTCTGGGAAATACCTGTTAATGATAGATTTCAACTGTTATTTTTCAGAAATCATACGTGAAGATGAAAGATTTCGAGTAGTTTGTGTATTGTAAAAACAGAAAGAAGCGTACAAAGAATATTTGATACATAATTATATTGATCAATATATATATAAATATCTACATTTTCATTTGCAGCCCTTATAAACTTACATTTTACATTGTGAATATGTGTTATGATATATATCTGCTTTCCATCATACTGTTGGATAAATCAAAGCCAATCACGACATAGCATCAAATTTAAGATTTTCAAATGGTTTATTTCGGGTTCTTCACTTTTGAACCAGCTTGTTAAATTGCATTGCAAGGAAAGAAAAGGAGGAAGATTTTCATTTGTGTTTTAAAAGTAAAAATAAGTATTGAAATGCATCTTTTCAACGGTTACAATGGGTATACAACACAGTTCCATTTGAATATTTTCTATGTTGTACCTCAGCATATCTTGTAGAAGGTTTGAATAATATATCTTAATGCATCATGACATTTGTTTTGATTTTTGAAGGAATCTTTCAAATAAACAAACAAATAGAAATTAGGTAATGAAGGCTGTAACAATCTTATCTTTGAATATACTCTTATTTTAATTCTTAATGCAAGAACTTACATATACTGGGTTTTTTTGTAGCATTAAAAAAAATAATTATGTTTTGTATATTGTAAAGGTCATTTCAATCTGGATTTAAGTGATCTTGGTGAATTCTTATTTGAGCATGTGAAATATATTTTCTAAAAACATTTTCAGTTATTTGAAATTTCCTCCAAAAATTTCTGAATCACTGCAGTGTTGTATATCCGTAAGGAAGGGATAGTATCAATTTCTAAAAAAAAGTGTTGACGCATATTTTCTTATACATCTTATTGCATTTATTTGGATAAATCATGAACATTGATAAAAAATGAAAATGCATTGCGTAACATTATCTGAGTTTTCCTGATCAGACAGCAAGTATGTTGTAAAATGAATGTGTTGAACTCAAGAATGCCATATAAATTATTTATTTTAGTGTTAATTCAACAAATATTATTATTGCCACTGCAGATGCCATAATTAAAGTTTAACATAGTTGTGTAAGTGTGATTTTAAGGTAAAGGTACCACAAGATAACTCATTCACCCCTGAAATTCAATAATGAACTAATCCAACCTTTGATTTGGAAGATTTCAAATGTGTCTTCAGGGGTGAATGAGTTAATGATAACCACTGTAACTAGTGTGAAATATTTGTGGGTTAAGACCTTTTCAAAAGAAATATGTTGGCATGTATAAATTCGACAAAATTGTAGTTGTTTGAAGTAGGAATGTTTGAAAAAAAATTTTTTAACAAGAACATGTACGGGTTGAACTTGGGTGACCTATACCTATCCTTCACTTTACCTATGTTGGCATAAAGGAATTATACAAACAAATATTAGCACATCCAGTTTACAAACTTGACAGGGGAAGCCACTCTAAGTCAGAATAACTCCTTAATCGTATATTCCGTCTTTTTCGTATTGCAGAGTTATCTGCTCTTTGGAGCAGGTATTGATTGTTACGTCATTTGTTTGTGAGAGTAACGTCATCAATTTTTGAGAAAACGACGAAATTTTCTCACACAAACCAATGACGTAACAATCAATACCTGCTCTCAAGAGAAGATAACTCTGCAATACGCCCAAGACGGAATAGAAGGGAGAAATTCAAGTAAAAAATCAAATATCCAATCTGATTCCTGAAAAAAACCAATAGTTTATGCCTGTCTGGATAAAATATGATTGTTTTTGCTTAACCAATCAGAGCTAAGTAAAAATGTAGTAGAAATCTTGGATCATTTAGATAATAAATAAACCAAAGGTTGAAAGGGTAATTAGGGGAATGTCCTTTTTAAGTTTGGATGAAATTAACTCGGTGAAACTTTAGAAAAAGGTTTTTTTTAACATTATTGTCAGCTTTTTCATTTAAATGCATTTTTCATACTATCAGGTTTTGGGAGTTACTCCCCTTGCAGCACTATGTCTATAAGGAAGCCTCGAATAAAAAACAAACCCATGGTCGAAACCGTGATAATCAATGGTCTTGATTTAAAACTTGATTGAAAAACAAATAATTCGATCTTGGGCTGAAAGTTGGACAATTGTTGGCTTAACTGAGAAAATTGTGAATTACTCGTTTCATAATTGTTGTTTAATTAAGAAAACCTTTGGTCAGAATTGAAAAAGGGCATTTCATATGTCAAAACTTGGAATAACTTGGTCTATATTTGGAGAATAGATTTCTAGACAAGCCAGGCATAAATATAAAACTTATATTGTAAACTTAATTTAATTTAACAATTATGAAACGAGTAATTGCTACTTATATAATCCAGGGTGGGGTGTATATATATATATATATATATATATATATATCAGGGGGGTCTGGGCCTTTACATATGGTAAGAAGCCATGGGTATATATATATATATATATCTGTTTATAGACACATCACAATAGATAAAGAAAACATCAATAAAGTTCATCACAATTTCTAGGTTCATAGTTATAAAATGTTTAAAAAATAAAATAAAAAGCTTAATAATAGTAATGGGATAGTCAATTAATAAGTTGGAAAAACTTACCGACTAATCCCTTTGTCAATATGATGGCAATAAAATATGTTTCAATTTAAGTATTAAATGCCATCATTAAAATTTATATAGTGAAATTATTAGTCACTGTCAAGTATTTATTTTTCCTATGATTCTAGTTTAGAGGGAAAGTTGTAATTATATAATGTTCTGTCATAAAAAAGAGATTTTGAAGTAAGGAAAAGAACTGGGTTTTTTAGGGTAAATAACTAACTATTGATTTCAAGATCGTGATAACTTTTTCAATAAATTGAGATGAGAATGGTTCATTTTGAATCGTAGAATGCTGGTAAAATCCCTATTTTTTCTTCTGTATAATGTTCACTTTTTTCATTCAAGAAATAATTAAAATGAAAGATAATTAAAATATTGCTAATAACATTTTATTCAGCTGGAAAACATTGAATCTCAAAATCAAAAGTTATAAAACCCTTTTTGAAATGTTTAAAAATGTTCATTATCAAGCGTGGAATACAAAAGTTGGATTTCATGTGAGGTTAGGATTATAAATATTTCTTTACCTCATGTAAGATATAAATATTCTGTATTTATTTAGTAATTACATATGTATTTTATTTAATTTAAAATCAAACATTTGATGATTTTTTTTTAGTAAAAATACTGTCGATTTGATAAAGAAAATCTTAATTATTTAGTTCCTGAAATTCTTCATATGTACAAGTACATTTATAAATATGTCTTTTTTCTCTGTAAATACCAGTTTTTAAATATCATTTTTTATTCTTCGTAGAGATTAAGTACACCACAAGTTCATTGCAAGTTTTCTAAAGTTCTAAATATTAAATTCTGAAGTTTATTTAATTGGTAACTAAGTTACTAGTACAATTGTTGAAAATGTTAGCGGGTATTTTAGTTAATTGCATTTATATGATCCAATGTTCATATTTAAACATTTTTGTTAATAATGCTTATGTACACTGTTAACTTGGATGTTATAATTAGTATAGAGGGATAACAGTTTTGTATTTATCAGTTTACCGTATTTTCCAAATATTTTTAACTCTTAATTTATAGTTTCCAGTGATTTTACCAGTTTTTGTCAGTGATCAGAAAAACGCTTTAAATAATTTTGTTTCCTTTCATGAAATTTCAATAAAGCTTGTTTTTCACAATCTCAAAATATACCATATTTCACCTGTGATAAGCCTGTAAATGTTACTCTTATAAACAAATTTAGAGGTTAAGGTTCAGGTGAGAAACCCTATCTTTCATATAAGGGATAAAATATAGTAATACATGGTAAGCTGAGTTCATCCTTCCAACTTGTCATTTTTTCTGTGGTTTAACAATCACAGACATATATCTCAGGTAAAATATAAAAATAACGGTGAAAGAATCCTACCTGTGTTGCATGTGCGGTGCTGCCAGCGATCACAGCCGTCACACTGAAGTCCCTCCTGTCTGGCCCTCACTTGGCAGTCACACTCAATACAGTCCACGGAATCCATCATAGAATTGTGAATCTAGCAAATTCTCTCTCCTTTTTGTCATCAACATGGTTTTCTGTGCTTTACTTTGATTGGTTGGAATTCTATATTCACTCAAAATATGAGGGAGTGTAATTAAGTAATTGAGACTTAAAACAACAGAATAGCTGGTACTGGGAAACTGGCTTGGGGTGGCCCAATCACCTGTGTTGTGATTGTTTTACCTGTGTGTACATATGTACAATCATTTACACACATGTGTGTCCCCATTGAGAAGATTATAATTGATATCCACTAATTAAATGTTATTACACTACAATTTCTACAAGCAAGATGTATGTGCATTCTCTGATGTAGGTCTTCTTTTAATCAAAGAAATAAAAATATATTGTGATTATAATATTGATTGATGATAATTGTTAATATAATATGACTATGTTACATATATGATTTGAAATATATGTGTTTTGATTAAGATATGGGAGAGGTCCTAGTTAGTTGTAAGAACTTGTGCCCAATATTTATCCCTTCCTTCAATGTCAATAACATCTGTTTGAATGCATGAACACAAGGTTTTATGTACAATAACAACACATCTACAAATGTATATGAAATTAACTTCATGTATGTACGACAAAATAATTAAATTTTCAAAAATAAATTACATGCTATTATGTATTTAGAATTATATTGTTAAATTTTATATTTTAAAATTTCAGAAAGAAGTAAGGCGTCCTCCTGCCATAGTGCCACAGATACTGGTGAAAAAGGTCCAACCTATCACCGTCACTCCGTCAATGTCAGACGCTGAGGTGGAGAATAACTTCTTCAGGTAAAAGTTTAAAACAGGCAATTTCTGACTTCTTCAGGTTCATATTATCTTGTTATCATCTTTTTTATAACGGTCTGAAAACAAATACTTTATTTATCTTGATTAAAACAAATTTTGTCAAAGATTGTAATTGACTTGAATTACAGGTTGTAAACTAAGTTGTATACAAATGTCGCTTTCAGTTTTACAAGTTAAGTATGAATTTCAAAGGTTAAATACATATTAATTTTACTAGATAAACTTTCACTTTTGAAGTAAATGGTTCAATTTACTGGTAACTTAAATATCAATTTACCTAGTAAACTACAATTTACAAGAAATTAAATCACCAAATTCACTATTGAATAACAACTTTACCAATTAAATTATCATTCTATCTATCGGTTAATCAAATGAATAACAAATTTTACAAATAGTATTTTCAATTTCTAAATATTTTATCAATTTATCAAGTGAATACATTTTTCTATCAAGTTACCAAATTGTCAATGAAACTGTGTGTAGTTTCCAGGGTGCTGTACGAATCAAGAATACATACTAGGAACTGATTGGTGTTAATGGTCTGTAATTTCAGGTATATCGAGACAAAGGACGTGATCTGTAAGAATGACAAACGCCTGGGTTTCCAGCATGATGGAGGGTACAATGTGTGTTTCGCTCCTCCCTTTGGCCTGAAGAAGCCTTGCATAGTGTATTCTTTTGGGTAAGTAGTGTGCTATCCACTGCACCACACAACCAGAATGCTACTACAATAAGCTCAGGGGTCTTTCCCTGCCCCTGGTTAGTTATAATTAGTTTCATGGCTATAACATGGAAAGGGTTGAGATTCCCCTGCTATAACCATTATACAGTTGCTGGGAGTGAAGGGATGATTACAGTCATGCTACCAGAATAAGCAAGTGTATGACCTTGTTCTTGAGAATGAGTCCCTAGGACACTTCATGGAAACAGTTGAAATTCCTGCCTTAAAACTGTATAGTCATATATATATAGATCTAAACCATATATAATATGAAGCACCCTTGGTCCCTTTGACCTGGGAATCTGGGGCTGGAAACAAAACGAGGCAATTTAGATATTTAAGTATGTGAAAGCCCACTTCCCTGAAAAGTTGAAAATAAATCAAATTTACTTTAATGTAGCCCTGGAACCAGGAGATCAAATGTTGTATAAAGAAAGGGTGTTGTCACTGAGACAGCCTCTGAGACTACTGGAAAAATTAAAGAGCTTCAGTCAGCATTCATACATCTTTTGTCTGTTGTACACACTTTTAAAGGAGCTTTCACTTTGACATGACAGCTTCCCAATCCCTCCCTGAAATGGCTTATCACCTGCTTTGAAGCCCAGAGACAATAAATGTCCCCTTGTGCTACTGGGGTGCAATTTAAATTTTTCTGGAGAAATCATGAAACCATCAAATAAACAGGTACTGATTGACCGGCTAGATTGAGAACTATAAGACAACATACCCTATGTTGTTTTCATATCGCAGAATAAAACTGAAACCAATGTCTGGTCATTTGAATATTGAATAACTCTCCTCGACTTACAAAAACCAAAGTTAATTTACATGTAAACCTAGATAGGTGTATATGTATTTTTTTGTATAGGATAATTCTGATTTAAGTTTACCAATATGTGTCAACCTATTTTTTTCCAGAATTTATGATGACTGGAATTTTGACGATGCCGTATCCAAGATCTTCAAATGCAATGTGTTTTCCTTTGATCCTTCGTAAGTCTGACTACTGTATATAGGGGCATAGTTTTTATGCCCCTATCACTTTATGGGGAAAGGGGGGTCTAGTGCTAACCATGTCTCTCCTGTAAGTCCCATCCTAATTCATTGTCTTTGCTCTGCATGCACTATAGCGACTTAATTCCTTGGATGAGTTTGTATTTCAGGGTTCCAAAGCTAGGCTAATTAACATCCCTTGTTGTTTATAGAAAATCACCAAACAATTCACCGTCATCACTCTTGCAACTTCATATCTTAGCAGATTTCTATCAAACTTTAAATGAAAGTCAAGTATGAAAACATTTCAAATGAAATCATGTGACTAATGTGTTCTTTGTTATTTATAGAAAATCACCAAACAATTCACCGTCGTCGCTCTGGCAACTTTATATAGTAGCAGATTTTGATTGAACTTTGATATAAATGGAGGTCAAATATGAAAATATCTCAAATGAGATAAATATATTCATTGTCTGAAGGTCAAGACCAAGGTTAGGTTGATTATTGGTTGAACACAACCAGTTAAGCATTATTGCTCCAGTAACTTCTTATAGGGATGTGTAGTGGAGACATCCCTGCTTCTTACAAGTGTTACTTATAGAAATACATTTGATAAAGTCATGTTTCAGGGTGTCAAAGTTACTGTTACCCTTAATAGATTTTTTTTGTCACCATTTTTTTTTTTTTAAATACATATGCCACACAGCATATAACAGGTGTGATACTGTAGAACGGTAAAGTCTTGCCAAGTCAAACTTTTCCCCTTCACTGATGAAACCCATATACACCTAGCTTGTGTGAATGTTATTTCTGGTACTATATATAAATGGTGTTGTATNGGGGGGGGAAGGTGAATGTCGAAGTGCAGCTTATAGTGTCCTGTTGTACAATATATTATTGTTATTTTGCAAGTTTGATGAATTTCGTGTTGAGATTTGCTGTTTTGACATGCGACATGGACTAACTAATATGTTGTTATGAAATATCTATGGTCATGCACTGTTTTGTGTAATTTACTATTATACCTTAGGCATATTATTATAATAATAATTAATTATAATAATTCAAGGTTCTTATATACCGCTTTATCACAACCTAGTTCGTAGGTCGTCTCAAAGCGGTTCACAAATTAATATTCGTGGTTATCCTATAGGGCCTTTGCAACCAGCCAATATCTTTCTCAACTCCCTGGGGAGCATACAGCCGGTGCTGCCATTTCGGCGCTCACAGCTAGCATTCTACAATTCTAGCACTACCCAACCACATACTCATTTACAGCTGAGTGGACTGGAACAAGCGGAGTAAAGTATCTTGCTCAAAGATACAACACAGTGCCGTGACAAGAGTCAAACTCGCAACCCTTCGGTCACGAGCCCGGCGTCCTACCACTAGACTACCGTGCCTCCCTTCGGTCACGAGCCCGGCGTCCTACCACTAGACTACCGCGTCTCCTATAAAAAAGGTGTTTTTTTTAACATGTTGTATACATATCTGTAACATTTGATATAAGCAGCAAAGTTCTCCATTTTGTTCTCAGGATTTCCCAATCAGACCACAACAGGAGTTCATTGATAAAGTTTCGGAAAATTGGCATTGGAACCAAAAATGGCGTCAACAGAAAAGGCTGGACTTTAAAAACTCTTGGATCGATTTTACGACGTAACCATCACGAAAAGGTAGGGAGGCTGAAATTGAAAATGAACAGGTTAATATTTGTAATGCTTCAGCTTCTTTCCCAATTTAAACCTTTATCCAGAAGTTTTTTTTGTACACCCTTCACAATTTTTGACAGGACATCGGACCAGCAGTCCACACTTTGGTTTCCGCAAGAGGACTTGCTCAAATATGATATTTTTTCTTTTTTTCTTTTTTTGCATGGGAAGCATTTTATACATACAAGTAAGTGTATCACACGACATCACAATAGTCGGGATTATATTCTATATTTGTTATTATATGCACAATAGGCCTGTATTTCAAGTTCATTTGTTTTATAATTATATTACAAACAACAGTGTTATTTTTACAATGTGATATTTTTATACCACAATATCGTATGTTATTTGTACATAATGGGCTTTTTTGGTGTTTTTTTGTTTTTGTTTTTTTGCTCAAATATGATTAAATTTTATTGAAAAATGTTAAGATTTTAAGTTCAAAGATGAGCAAAATGCATGCATAATTAATTAGCTTACTGCGCTCTGATTGGTCAGTAACCATGTTTAGTTTCCGAAAGATAGCTTTCTCAAATATTAAATAGTGTTCCATTTTGATGAAACTTAGTAAGCATGTCCGATGTACTAAAATGCAGTTGAAAGAAACTGAGCGTAATTGATTTGCTTATGCTCCGATTATTTAAGGGTTTCCACACAACAACTTAATGAAATATGACCAGATAATTATGAAAACTGACTAATAATTTTATCATATACCAAATCAAAAGCCAGGTTAAAAAAAAATTAGCAAATTCTGCGAATGTTGTTGGTAAGTGTATGTTGTATATATATTGTTCTCTGACAGTACCTTCATTTGAATTTTGGCTGAAGTAAACTTTTGGTAAAATGCTGTTCATTATGATGGGCATTCTTTCATTGTTAGATATATCACAATGGGTTCAAAACACTCTGCCCTTTATACTCTTGCTTGATTATGAAAATAGCGCAAAATATATTACCATCTTTTCACAGACACAATGCAACTAGACTATGACGTCATCGTTCTGCTTTACTGCTGTAGACGTCACTATATATACAGTTAGTTGTTGTTTGACACCAGGCAGGACACCGCTTTTTGTACTTTAGGGATCATCTTAGTTGTACACCTCGTGGGCCGAAACATGTAAACTCTATAAAATTTGTCGTTTCCTGTTCTGTCACTATAAACTGTTCTTAATGAGAATGACATGGTACGTCATTTTGAGGTTAATTCTGAACTTAACTGGTGTGCTATAATCTTAAGCCAAAAACAAAATTAATTTCATAAGGAATTTCTTTATTTGGAAAATAAAAATGATGCAACATTTTTAATATCGAATATAAAATTGATGCTTAATTATTGCATTTCTCATGATCTAGGATTTCCTTCTTTAATAAAATCTTCAATATCATATGCCTTTTTGTTTTTGTTGTATTACAGACGGTCATTGATTACCTGAAGTTTGACATCGAGTACGATGAGTGGACTGTCCTGCAGGCGCTCCACGAGGAAGGATCTCTGTGGAACGTTAAACAGATAGGCTTTGAGATCCACACAAACGAGCTGTTCCGCCAAAAAGATCTTCCGTTACGTACAACCACCAAACACGACTACATACGAATGTACAAGATCCTTCAGACTCTGGACAGGATGAACTTTAAGCAGTTTAACTACAGACTTAATCCCTTCGGAATGTTCAAATCCAAGGTCACAAATATTACAAGGTCGTGTTGTTACGATATCCATTTCATGAATATGAACTTTGTGAAAAAGAATTATACTATTGTTGAAAGCTGATATTTTTAAGCGGCAGTAGTCGGGTTTTTTCCATTTTTTTATTCCAAGACACTTTCACCAGTTTACTCGGTTTTATATGTAATCAATGTGTTCTGCAGGCATTGTGGGTATTTTTTAAAGGGTACCGCTATGCTAGTGTCATTCTGTGATTGTGTGATGAGAGATTGTGTAACTGTTACTTACATACAATGGAGATATCATAATCAGGGTTGTGAGGAAATGTTTAAGCTTGTGTGGAAAATGGCATTTATTTTCTGGGTTATGTTTTATAATGGTTTGTTAGAAAATGTTAGGCACCTTGTATAAATTCAATCAGTTTTTCAATGAATAATTATTGTTGGCAATTGATCTTTAAAAAAAGATTCACTTCAGATTACATTCACGATAAGACTTGATAAAGAAGTGTTTCAGATCCTTGCCTTTATTGTGCGTGTTTACTAAATGAGCTACCTTATAGACTTACAGTATAAAAGTTTATTTGTTTTACAACAGTTATAAAACCTGTTATTTCAACTTGTATTAATCACTCTTGTTGGTCTGGATTTTAGGGTGCGTGGAGGGTCTTAATGTGGGAGGAAACTTGAGTGTTAAGAGAAAATCCATGAAGTCGGGCAGCTGACCTCATATCTTTTCACATCTGATCGGGGAACTAACTATTGGTACTCTTTCACTGTATGATAACTCCTTAATACTAACCTGTAATATTGGAAGTAATACTTTGGTCATGCTTGATCCACAATATTTTTAGATTGTGTTTACTTTATCAATTTTTATTCACCTACAATTTTCACGCAATTCAGGCTTTACCAAAACAATTAAAATACAATACCCAACAACATGTACAAGCATAGAACACTAGATCAGTCCTACACATTTATTTCGTTAGGTTAGTAGTGTTAACTGTATACAGTACCTAGAACTTTTTTTTCAGTATGGTTATATTCATCAGTATATAATACATGTACTGTGTAGTTAATATCTAAAACCTTGTACAATCAAAAAGTTCTTTATCTCAAGATGTATATGGGTTTTTTAGTGTGTTCTATGTGGCATAGGTGCATTAGGTTTAAGTATAGGCAAATGCCTATGTCAAAGGACTAGGGGGGTTTAGGGTCTTTTTCGGCCTCATCAGGGATTTAGAACTAGTTGTTATATTCGTAATCTGGAATAAATGAAGTACGCAAATATGAAATTTCAAATTCATTCGACAACTGGTTTAAGAGATGTTGCATATATAACAAAGATAGACATAAACCTGCATTTTCTTATTGGATATCACCTGTTATGCGCTATTTGGTTGATAATAGGCCATTTTGAAGGAAATTAACTAAACACTCTTCAATTTTTGAAAGCCTCCGCATGCAACAAACAAAAAATATTTCACATACTTGGACATGATCATACCCGTGTTCATTCGCAGAAAGGAATTTTTGTTTGTCACTTGTGGAGGCTTTCATTTCTGCATGCTTACTGTCCAAAAACACCATCTTTTGGCTATTTCTGCATAGCAACCCAATTTCGTTTATTGGCCGCAAAGTCATAAATTGCTTGACAGGGGAAGTTACTCTAAACCAGAAAAAACTACTTTTGGTTGCTTCACCTTTTATATAGAAGTAATGGAACTCTTCTATGTGATTATAACTGCAGATGCTGTGGTACACTTTACCTTAAATAAGGTCCATTATTACCCTTTAGTAAAACAATATATTTCGATCACTTGAGTCGTCGGCACAAGCCAGTGCCTATACTCGTTTTACACTCGACCTTAGTTCTATTGGTTTGTATCTGGTGCTAGTGTCTAGTGTAAGAACATTAAACCTAAATAACTGGTGCCAAAGACTCCACAGACATGTGTACTGGCACATCACATCTTGATTTCTGATATGGTAATTAGATACCTCAATGGTTGTAAAAAAAGTTGTTCATATGTATGCAGCACTTTGCTTATACATATAAATATTACCTACACTAGAAAGTGATGACAAAACATATCATTTAAAAAGCTGAAGAGTTGGCATATCAAATGCTTGATCAAAGCTTCCCGGAATATTCCTATAAGGCTGGTTAAATTTGACAGAGTTGAACTTTCGCCGTCACAGAATGGGCTATCCATATCGAGGCAATTGCCACCTAGCCAAATATGTGTTTTTCGGAACAATTGCAATATCTCACACAACACTCACACTTTGTTAGCCTTTTATTGTATAGTATAAAGTATTTTCCTAGCGTAATATAGTAAATCTTTCGGGGTACATTTTAACTATAGTTTTCTCTGCCCCTTACTGCAGGTGAACTTACTGAAGTACAACGGACAACAATTCTTTTAAGTAAGGGATGTATTATGTATTAGAATAATAAATAATTTTAGTTGGTAGATGAACTGGTTAAACTTTATACTAAAGTGGTTAACCTGTGTAATTTTAGTTCAGTGGAATCTCTACGAGATAAATCATCTGGATGCTTAACAGCTGTTCAACGTCCTGTTGATGAATCACCATGCAATTGGAAACATGTAGATCTCATCAAAGTTATTGAACCGTTCTTGAGGTGTTGAGATTCCTTCATCCTTCCGTTTGGTTCGTTAGTAAGGAACTCTATGGAGTCCATTTTATGAGAATAATATCACATTTTCCTACATCAGGAGTGTTGGATTTCCCCCACGCTTTATTCTTTTACTACTTTGGTGATTGTGAAGCGGTTCATGATTTATCGCATATTTTCAATCTGTTTTATCAATGTTGAAAACTGAAGAATGGCCTATTTATTGTTATGTAATTATGTAGATTTAAAACTTACATACAGAGGGATATCTGACAGAGTTACTTCCCTTCGTACAGTAAAGTTGAGTACAATCATTTTTATATAGAGGACATAACAAGGATGTCTTTTACATTGCATTGTGGGATTGTTGATCTACTTTGTTACCGAGATTATCTATCATATTGATTGAAGATGGAAGTGGTAGGAATTATAATTTTACTTCGTTTGATTATTTAAAAATCATATGAATTAATTATACTAAAGTATTCAAAGATGCATAATTTTGCTATTTGACACGTTTATAAATTATATCTGGCATTATCTCAACATATTAACGATGTTCATATCACAGTTAATTTGTCAGTATGTTATGTGTGTATGTATCCTCATCATCATAAGGTTGTGCTTTTGTTTGTTAATATTTGCTTGCAAAGTTGGTGTTAATTGTAACAAATATATAGCTACTTTGAACAAGAAATAGATCATGTATAATTGCATCTTCGCTAACCAAGGGTTAAGATCCGGTACGATATACCTACTCTCAGGTACACGGGATCGTACCAGATCATAACCCTTGGTTAGTGAAGATGTTATTATTGTATCCCCCTGTTCTTTTGTTATCAGGCTAGGGGAGATAACCCATTTGTAACAACACCAACGTCAAAATAACGTGTTTCACTCAGGTCCATGAGAATTGAATTTGCATGGACACATCTTCCAATATTTTTGTGACTCATTCCTATTGTTTTACTTAGAAGCTTCTGAAAGGATCATGACAGTTTATTGATTTATTGATTTATTTTACTTAAGGATCCCCGTACCACTGCCAAAAACTGTTTTTGTAACTAATTTCTGGACATTGTTTTATTCGACATGACTATAGCTTTGATAAATCAGGTCTGAAAAGTAAACCAGACCTTGTGGGACTTTTATGGAAAGTGATAAAGATGAAATAAACAAAATGTTTTCAACAACAGTGTTCTGAGTGTAACAAAATTCAGCGGGGCTAGTCTGGGATTCTAATCCTAGAACTTATTGAGCTACCTAGGCCTTGTCAACTGAAGTATCATGGCTCAACTTATGCTCAAATGGAATTAAGGGGAGGTTACTGTATATTTTGGGAAAATACAGTGTAGTGGGACAAGGATCCTTAATGATAATGCAGGAAATGTTTAGAAATTACGGGATGGTACCATAAAACCTGGGGAGAACACCAAATTCTTACTCCATCACTTGATCATTTTACTGAACAAATTTGTTGGTGTATGATACAAATATAACGGAGAAAAAATATTATTGAATGTGAATAGTATTGTTGGCTTAGTGTTATGGGAGATTGTATGTAGATCATATTGGAATAGGTGCTAGGGTCATGCAATTTTCCATTTGTCACACTACAAAAAGGCAGGCCAATTTATTGAAATTGTCATCACAGTAGCGATAAAAAAAACCTGATAACTCTCAGTATTTCAAAAAGTGTCAAAGATTTTGTTTTCCTTCACAAGATTTGTGGAACATTACCTTAAGGTGTTTTATGTACATGTTTTACCACATAAAGGGCTAGCCAGGTCTCTTTTGCAAATCTGAATCATTATTACCACCTCTGGAGGCTTCCTACTAAATTTGATTGTATATGACTTTGTAATTCTTGAGAATAAGATGTTAAAGGAAAAGTATTCAGATGGATGGCAATGGAGCACAATAGCTAACTTGACATAGCAGGCCAGCTGGAGATTAACAGGTTTTTCTTCAAATTCTTACTTTGAATCCATATGCATTTTGTTAAACTTTTTTTATGAAACAGTTTTATTTCAATATGTTACAAAATGTAAAAGGTCCGTTTAATTGTCACTTAATTAATTAGCTTATCAGCTTCTGAATGCCTGTGCCCTACTATTGTGCATTAGGCGAGGAATTCTTATTACAGGAATAATTGTTATCGTAAATATTATTACATTTTTTGTTAATACCATATCATTACACATTTTTATAATAAAATCATTATACCAACTTTCTGAGTTAATGATATTTTTAGCCCACCATCATTTGAGAATGAAAGTTTAATTTGTTAGCGCTATTTCTCATAAAGTATTTGAGGGATATTTCTCAGATTTTACACATAGGTTCCCAATCGTCCCTAGTTATGCAAATTGTTTTTTGGGACTGATCACAAAACCAAGATGGCCAACATGCAGCCATCTTGAATTTGAGTTAAAGTTTGTTAGCACTGTTCCTCAGAAAGTACTGAAAGGATCTTTCTTAAATTTAACATGAAGGTTCCCTCCCCATGATCCCTAGTTATGCATATCGTATTTTGGAGCTGATCGCAAAACCAAGATGGCCGACAGCCAGCCATCTTAAATTTGAGAGTTAGTTTGTTAGTGCTGTTTTCCAAAAGTTCTGGAGGGGTCTTACTCAAATTTGACACGGAAGTTCCCCATCACCCCTAGTTATGCATATGGAATTTTGGGACAGAAGAGAAAACCAAGATGGCCGTCACAAGGTACTGGCAGTAGGTCGGTGGTTTTTCTACAGGTACTCCTGCTTTCCTCCACCACCAAAACCTGGCATGTCCTTAAAATTAAATGACTACACAGGGGTTTTTCACTCTACATTAGATCATTACACATTCATCTTCCTTCATGATAAACCTTGGATAATTCATTGATTGTGAGCTCAAGGTTTGTAGAATTTCAAAGCACTGAAATAACCTAAGCATACATATAATAAAATATTTTCATTGTGTAATTTTAATTTAATTAAAATCAAATCTCTTGTAAAGGTTTGGTTTCTTTTAAATAAATCTGTGGTTAGCAGAGTTGATACCGACAAACAAAATATAGAAATAAATGGTATATGTGAAAAAATTACGATGAATATTCATATAATATTCACTTACATATGATGTCAATACTACATGTGTTTGTATTCATAGAATTTTGCAAGATCAAATCAATGATCGTGAAATAAAACACTTCCATTACTTGGATCTTGTGTGTGAACAGATGAAATTGAGGTGTGAAGACAAATATATATATAAAATCTTTATTGAGTTTACAACAGTTTTGAAACAAGTTATTTTAACTTATATTACCAGGTAATCACTCTTGTTGATCAGGATGTTAGCGTACAGGGGGTCCTAATCTGGGAGGTAACTGGAATACCCGGAGAAAACCCATGTGGTCGGGCAGGTGACCCCATACCTTTTTCATGTCCAATCGGAGAATTGAACCCTGGCCGCCTTGGTGAAAGGCCAGTGTGTTATCCACTGCGCCTCCCGACCACCCGAGACAAATGCATCGAGATAAATCACACAAAGAAGATGATTTTTCTCCAAAATACATTTATTGTCAACTGTCAAATTTCTCCACATTCTCGTCAACCATAGACAATCAGATAATCTAATATTCAGTACAACACATACACACACAGATGTTAGATCAGTCCAAGCAGTCATGAATACAATGATTGTTAAAACTATGAGCAGGAGGCATGTCTATTGATATGACAAGCTTACAAATGTATCCTGCAATAAACCCAGGGGGCCCAGCACAAAATCTCTGACTTAAAGTAAGCATGGGCTTATTGCCAGATAAATGGTATGTATACTATACATGTATGTCAAGTCTATGTTATATCATGGAAGTAGCATTTGTTACCAATTGTAAAAGCATGTACTCTAGTGTTACACCGATGATTATTTCATACTATAATCAGCAATAGATCCTGGCTCTGTTCGGTGCTTTCCTAGCTTTGATCTGGATGGGAGTTTCCCCAAGCTCTGATCTGGAGAGGTATCCTTGTCTTTAATCTGGAGGGGTGGGGGCCCAAGCTCTAATCTGGAGGGGTATCCTTGTCTTTAATCTTGAGGGGGGTTTCCCAAGCTCTGATCTTGAGGGGTGTCCTTGTCTTTAATCTGGAGGGGGGGGGGGGTCCCAAGCTTTGATCTGGAGGGGAGTTTCCCCAAGCTCTGATCTGGAGGGGTGTCCCTGTCTTTAATCTGGAGGGGGATTTCCCAAGCTCTGATCTGGAGGGGATTCCTTGTCTTTAATCGGGAGGGAGGGGGGGGGGGGGGCCCCAAGCTCTAATCTGGAGGGGTATCATTGTCTTTAATCTGGAGGGGTGTCTCCCAAGCTCTGATCTGGTTGGGTATTTCCCAAGTTCTGATCTGGGGAGGGGTTTCCCATGATATGATCTGGAGGGGGTATCCTTACCTTTGACCTGGATGTGAGGGGGTTCCCAGAGTCTGATCTGGAGCAAGTTGGCTCTGATATGGGGGTATGGGGGTTCCTAGGGTGTGATCTGGAGCTGGTTTCCCTGGCTCTCTGATCTAGAAGAGTTTTCTAAGTCTTCAAATTTGATAATGGTGATTTAAGAATAAAATGTATTTCAAAAATAACCGTTTTACGCTGAAGCCCCCTGGATCTATCAGTGATATGTTTAAAATTAAATACATTTATTTGTAGATTCCGACATTAACAAGAAATGTTTGACAAAATAATGATGACACACAAACACTGGTAAGATTGGTAAAAAACAGAAGCAGTACTAGAATTAAATCAAATCTAATGTCAATGAGACATCTATAACCTACATGTAGCTGGCCCAAATATTTATTATCTTACAATAAATGCATTTTCTCTTTAACTGAAAATTATATATGTATATACCTTGCAAAGTTAACACGGTGGATTAAAACGCTTTCAAATTATTAAAAGTTATATAGAAAATAATTCGCCAATGATCTTACTTCATAAAACAAATAAAACACTTAATGTCGTTTAAGTTAAAGCTGATATTGATTGTTTGAGAAAAGTAGGGCAACGCAGGTTACCCAGTGATACATACACAATCACCTGTTAGCGAGAATTTAAATTAAGCTTACAAATGATTATAGTTTAGTCTCACTAGGGAGATGAGAAACAGCAGGTAGATATGGACAAATAAATCAATTTCAAAGACACACCTAACAATTCCTTACCTTAATTACAAGTGGCTTCGAAACATTTGCAAAATCCCTAACATCACCTAAACATATGTCATGGATGAAGATTTTGAGGAGAGTCATGTTTATGTAAAAAGTAATATTCGTAGAAGAAAGCTGGTCTCCTGACTGGCCTTCGATCTTGAGCAAGCCAGATTTAAAATATTGCTTCGTAATTTGGCTACATATATTTGTGACCAAATGGAAAAAAACTTGGAGATGTTTCTGTCATTTGTTATACTTCTGAGCAAGCTAAGTTTTTCTTTTATATTATGATATTTGTATCGATAGGTAAGGAACTTTTGAAAGGTGTCAATGTAAATCAGTTTCTTTGTCGATAACACTGTCCTACATACTGCCAACAAACACTCGGTACAAAGCTCATTCTATACATTAGTGGCTCCAATTACATTGGGATTTCCCACTCGCACTGACATACAAATTAATGGTCTATACAGATAATGCTTTTTGCATGATGATAATAAAATTCAACTACAGTATATAAAAACCACAATAAGTTTAAACAATGGAAGCAAAAGATTGAATTAAAACAATCTTTCATGTCATCTAAGCACCATTAATTAAATATTATACATATATATATATATATATATATATATACAACTGAATTTTAATAAACAAAATAAACAAAACTTAAAAGTTAAACATTGCCCATCTCTATTAGACATACAATTATGCATGAAATATATATATATAGAATTGCTTTTGAAAATATTTAAATTAATATAAGAGAATGAAGTCACACATATATATATAAACTGTACTGTTATTGATACTAGTCATGGAGCATGTACAAAGTCTGCTAAAAATCATGGATTATCTCCCCTTGACTGTCTATGACACAGCTGTCTACAAAGGACAATGAATTGGGATTGATTTAGAACCAAGGACCATATGAGACAGAAAACCTGCCTATAACAGTCACCTCCATACAGTGAATGTAAACAGTAGGACATCTTTTAAAAAGCCTATCGGGAAGAGATTCCAGTTTATAGTGTCTCGTATTTAAGCTACAACAAAATAATGTACCACTGTTATGATTTCAATTCATCGATCAACACAAGAATATTTATATTAAGATATATATTCAATACAAGCAGATTAATATTTTTACCTTTGTTTTTTTGTAATATTACAATATTACTGCATTTGATGCACCCACTATACTCTTATCAAGTTAAATGAAGACAGTAATTGATCCATCGGATGATTGTTGGCAGAAAAGTTGAAAAATATCAAAATTCAACCCTGCCCCCAACACACCGACTTCACTAAAACTCGTGCAACGCTTTATGGCACAAAGTACAATGTTAATTAACTTCTATCGTACATATCCCACCCTCTCAAGTACCCATGCGACCCTCCATTGTAATGACCAGGTAATCTATAATAACTGTCAATTCAAAAATAACGCATATTAAGTTTTATTAGCTAGGCTAAATCCCAATTAAATATTAAGTTACAGAGAGCAGGATCTTACAGATCGGATTATACACTTTTTATCATTATGCAATATTCTAAAGATGACAACCATCACACCATATATGTGTTTAACATATTGTATACAATTGTAGATGTAGGTATATGTGTCTATAAGACACTGGACAGACTTCAATAACAGTAATGCGACCAAGATTTCGTACCTGTTTAAATTGGGACATCAGTGATTCATGTGCCCAGATTTGAACCGCTTAAAACCCTTGTGCATGCTAGAAGGGTGGAGGTCTAAAATCTAAGGCCGAAAAAAGAGGACTATTTTGACTAAATATTCATTTTCGACAATGTTTACCTGATCTGACAGGAGCTATTTAAAATCAAAAATTGTCATGTTCATAATATATTTCAGGAGTTGAAACAAGTTTGTATGAAATCATGATTGGAATAGGGTTCTTAAAACTCAGGAATCTTAAAACGCAGGAAACTGATAGTAGATCAAATCAATCATCCTTTTGCCTACATGATCACACTTCTCGTGTTTCTAGCTCACGTTTTCAGTACATAGATATATATTATGTACACATCATACATATTAAGTAATAATTAAGATTAATTAACATTGTTATCATAAGACTAATTAACATCATTATCACTACGGTAGATAAATAGTGATGAATGTTTTGTCATGGCAGTCATATGTCATATCAAAATAACAAAACAAAAAAAAATGACATTTAAACAGATTAAACAATTTTTTGGCAGTTTGAAATAAAAGTTTGGTCTTTGAGCAGAACATGAACAGCACCAATATAACGTGTACTGAATTGTTTTGAATCATTTGAAGCATAAATACAGGTATGAACAATCTCAGTTCATTGGAAGAGTTGTTCAGAAATGAAATCAAATAGGACACTATGCATTGCTTTTCAACATGTTTGAACTCTTTTAAGTAAATATCAACAACAAAAAGATGTGGAAAACATAATTGTGATAGAGATGTCTTCTTGTGACAGAGTTGAAGGATTTTTGTCTATACAACAAAGTCATTTCTCATTACAGACAAAAAATGGTGCCAAATGTTTGAGAGGCACACAAAACGTTTTTCGGTTATCTAATTATAAATAGTCCATTACTGATCACAATAACAACTCTCCATCATGAAACAAATTCTGCATATAGGCTAAATTTTTTACTTTCCTTGACCAAATGGATTCTTAAGAACTCTGATGAAAGGAAATTTCATTAAAACTGTGAAGAATAATTTCTACTATTCATTTTTGATGCAGCAAAAGTGGAGTTTTGTTCTGATTTTTTTTAAACAATGTAGTGCCTTTCTATTCTGAATTTTGTTATAGTGCCTTTCTATTCTGAATTTTGTTATAGTGTCTTTCTATTCTGAATTTTGTTATAGTGCCTTTCTATTTTGAATTTTGTTATAGTGCCTTTCTATTCTGAATTTTGTTATAGTGCCTTTCTATTCTGAATTTTGTTATAGTGCCTTTCTATTCTGAATTTTGTTATAGTGCCTTTCTATTCTGAATTTTGTTATAGTGCCTTTCTATTCTGAATTTTGTTATAGTGCCTTTCTATTCTGAATTTTGTTATAGTGCCTTTCTATTCTGAATTTTGTTATAGTGCCTTTCTATTCTGAATTTTGTTATAGTGCCTTTCTATTCTGAATTTTGTTATAGTGCCTTTCTATTCTGAATTTTGTTATAGTGCCTTTCTATTCTGAATTTTGTTATAGTGCCTTTCTATTCTGAATTTTGTTATAGTGCCTTTCTATTCTGAATTTTGTTATAGTGCCTTTCTATTCTGAATTTTGTTATAGTGCCTTTCTATTCTGAATTTTGTTATAGTGCCTTTCTATTCTGAATTTTGTTATAGTGCCTTTCTATTCTGAATTTTGTTATAGTGCCTTTCTATTCTGAATTTTGTTATAGTGCCTTTCTATTCTGAATTTTGTTATAGTGCCTTTCTATTCTGAATTTTGTTATAGTGCCTTTCTATTCTGAATTTTGTTATAGTGTCTTTCTATTCTGAATTTTGTTATAGTGCCTTTCTATTCTGAATTTTGTTATAGTGCCTTTCTATTCTGAATTTTTGTATAGTGCCTTTCTATTCTGAATTTTTGTATAGTGCCTTTCTATTCTGAATTTTTGTATAGTGCCTTTCTACTCTGAATTTTTGTATTCTGAATTTTTGTATAGTGCCTTTCTATTCTGAATTTTTGTATAGTGCCTTTCTATTCTGAATTTTTGTATAGTGCCTCTCTGAGTTGTATAGCTGTAAATGGTTAAGAGAACAACATTTTCAGATATGTATATATATTTATTTTTTTATCTACTAGGGTAAAAGTTGTTTGAAACAGAAACAGTGATATGCAGACCGTAGTTCCAATGACCTTAAAAGGACTAACTGACACTTGGGTACTGAACAGTTTGTAGTATATCTTATAATAATGATAAATGCATGCTGAAACTGATAGTTGATATAAAACTCTTATACAATCAGCCAGGATGGATATGTTGATATTAAAATCCATTTGAAAAATGTCCAAATTGTAATTTGGACCCCGTAATCAAGTATCCTGTAATTTGGCACACATGATCAAGGGAACATATTTTCTAAAGCAATAACTTTCTTGAGTGTTTAACAGGTTACATTCTTTGGCAATGTATAGTACATGTATACATTTCTTCAGCAGTAAGTAAACCAACAAATTTGTATTAGAACAACAACATCACTATCATATCATGCAGTTTACAGGAACACCTTTCATGGCAGTGTATTTTTTTTTTTGGCAAATCTATGATTTTAACATGATCGGGAACATTTCTAGTTGAGAGAAAATTTAGACATTACATCTCAAAACCATGATTTTAATATCACACTTTTTCACGCAAAGACAAAAAATATTCCACTCAAAAAATTAAAACTGTAGAAAGCATGTTTGTACCTTGAAATCCCATTGGCTTGTTCAACCGGCTATATTGTCTGTCAATCATTGGTAGCTACACTAGTATTATTCTATGGGAGCAATATAGTTAGCACTAATAACTTTAGTACTGTACTGTAATTAATAGTACATGTACAACATATGTCTTGAACAAAGTACTACATAATGTACTAGAAAACAGTTGGTACCTATAAAATTCACAGTAAATACCCCTGTTTAAACAATTCCTAGAAACCTTGGTGAATTGTTAACATTAGGCCAAAATATATAAATATTATGTATGTTTCAGGTAACATGACTGTAAAAACATTACGGTAGGTTGGTTGTTATTTATTTTTTATTTCATTTTATATGTGGTTTTTTTTTTTTGTTCTGAGAGGGGATTACAAAAATCACCAAACATATTTTTAAATCTTAAATAATATGGGTCCATAAATTTGGTTTTAATACCTGCCTATGAAGTAAAGAGGGTATATATATAGTTACCTGGTTTTTTCGTCCATAAATTTGTTTTCATCCTGTGGAAAAGTTATCCCAACACTGGATGGAGTGCATTTGAGCGAGATAAAACTGTTAGGGTCAGAGGTAAAACTAGTGTAGTTCATGGGACATGAAACACATATTTTTCTTTTTGGCCTTGTTCGAATCAATATTCCTCTTTAACATGTTAGAGCGTATAAATCATTGTTTGTTTGCTGTCCTCAAGTGAGCATTTTCTAATACTTAACCTGTACATGTCTGCAAGTTCTAATATTTTCAAAACAACAACATCAGCTAATAACTCTATTCACCCCTGAAATTTCATAATGGACTATTCCAACCATTGAATTGGGTGAGTTCAAATGTGTCTTCAGGGGTGAATGAGTCAAATTCCTGTATGTATATCATTCAGATCATCAAGATCTGAACAACTCTGCCCAGTTATATGTTTATATGCACCACCGTTAGGTATGTTCCTGGGTTATGATGTGTAGGAGACAGGGTACCAGCCCTCTGGTCTAGCGTCGTACAGGGAGTTAGGGGCACCATTGTGTAGGTACTGTTGGTATTCGGCAATCTGATACGGACTCATGTTGCCGTAGCCAACCTTGCTGCACGTATTGTAGTCTGTATGCGCGGGCATAGCCTGTGATGGGGGTGACATGGCCATGGACTTCACTGGGTTGGTTGCCGTAGGACCAGTTACCATGTGACATGAGACTGGACTGGGGTCAAAGTTCGTCTCCATGAAGGAGGTCGTGACCTTGTCCTCGGGTGACACAGATGATGGCGGGGTCATGGAGAAGCTGTCTGGGAGAGTGCTGTGAACCGTAACTGATAAAGGATTTGTGTAGCCCCCCTGCACACACTTACTATTGTTCACAGTAATCTGAGGGATATTCAGCGTCAGCTGTTCCTTGAGACTCGCCTCGTTACTGGGCGGGGTGAGCATATCGACGGAGTCTACACCCTGTGTATTGTCCCCACTAAAACACTGGGGGCGGGCACTGCTGCGTATGACGGACTCCCTATTAGCATACAGTGTCCGTAACAGAGTGGAGGCGGGCAGAGTGTCAGTGTCGGTGCTGGCCCGCCACTGGATGGTTGAGTGCTGCTTCTGTAAAGAGCTGGACATGTGCCGACTTGATGTGAGATCATTAGGGGAAGTCCTTACACCTGCTTCAATGTGATTGGTCAGATTTGGCAAATGTTTATTCATGACATCCTCCAAGTCCTTGACAGAACTGGACGGATTCTCTCGCATGTCTCGCTCCTTTTTGCGTTCTTTGGTGCCGTTCTGCCAGCAACTGACAGAAATGTTATTTTGAGATTCGCAGCCCGGGGTGCTGACCACGGCAGCCTGCCTCATGGTGAAGTTGTGGAGAGAGAGATCCTCGGGAACACTACAGCTTGACCGCTCAGTACTGTCCACAGTGCCCATGATGGCGTTGGTCTGACAGACAGAGCTCACCTCACAACACCTGTCCTGGTCCAGTGAGCTGTGTTTGGACACAGAAGACTGGAAGTCCTCTACTTCTGCACTAAGACAGTCTACATCATAGTCTCGTCGCCGACGCTTTGGTCGGTCAGCTTTTCTACGTGAATTTTTGTAGTCAGTTTTCAACAAATGTACTTTATCCTGCAGGACATTGCCCACTGTGGATTCACAATTCTTGGAATGAAAATTATTATTGGTCTGTGTACTATTCACAATGAATGGTTTATTGTCATGACTGCTGTCAGCCTCCTGAGAGTCCGACCTAACTGACCGCTGCAGTGTCGTGGAACTAGACACGGGCGATGTGACTCTCAGACTCGAAGGGTCCTTACTGTCACTTCCAGGACTCGCCCCCGGGCGGTGAAAGTTGTCCTTGTGACCCCTGCCTCCTGTTATACAAATGTAACATGTATTTAGACAGAACACATAAATCTTGTAAATTAACATATACCATGAACATTTCTGTAATATTTTCATGAACTGTCAAACCTTCATTTATATTTTAATTTCATTAATACGATTTATCGTTCAGTCAAAATGCTAACAAAAGCTTATTCAATGTCTTGTAATGATCAAGCTTATTCAATGTCTTGTAATGATCAAGCTTATTCAATGTCTTGTAATGATCAAGCTTATTCAATGTCTTGTAATGATCAGGCCTATCTCCGTATTTTGAGCCAGAGATTATGTGTCCCCCCGGGCTTATTAGAGGATAAATACAATGAGCTAAAGGGCCTTGATGGTTTGTTATAAGAGTTCTGTATGTAGTTATGGATTTCAATAATTTTTGAAAATGAACAAATAAAAATCTACAATACTTAAATGACGTGACTTGTGGCTTACTTACCATGGTCTGAGCCCTGCTCGCTTTGGTCAGTGTTGTCCGAATGGTCAGTCTCTGTTGGTCCTGTGGTCAGTAGCTGACTTGTGTCCATCACACAGCCTCCATACTCCACACCACTGTCACATAAACATTGATACATAAAGTAAGACTACTGAAAATCCTGGTAGACAAAGTGACGTCTTAAATAGAATAATGATGACACATGACTACTGAAATGTTCAAAACTCATTCAGGTTTCGATTTATCAGTCCGGTCAGTGAATAATAATGAAGTAATTAAATCTAAATTGTTTAACTTAAGTAATTCTCAAAACAAGAAGGCATTTTTGCCTCTATATAAAATTCATTGTCTATGACAAAATGATATGAGGTGTTTTGTAATTTGATGTGATGTTATTCTGATCCTCTTCTCGTAAGCTGTACAGGGTTGTACCACAAACCTATTATTCTACTATGGCCCTTTCCCTTGGGAACTGTTCTCTTATAGTGTTGTCTGGGGAGGCACTATACCTCTCCAGACAACACTATAAGAGAACAGTTCCCAAGGGAAAGGGTCATAACAGATTTAGTACATCACATGACTGTCATTTGACAATAAAAAGCAACATATTTAATAATTAACAATAAATGTCAATAAGATAATTTTTTGAGTAAATCTCTCCTTTTTTGTTGCGTATTCAATTCACTGGATTGAATCAACGCTAGGTCACATACGGTTCACTTTTCCAGTAGGAAGTCTTTAACTCATTCACCCCTGAAAGTTCATAATGAACTATTCCAACCATTGAATAGGAAGAGTTCAAATGTGTCTTCAGGGGTGAATGAGTTATGTACTGCGACGTTAAATGGTGTCATCTGTCACGTCTCGTCTTTATGCATTACTGAGCTCTGCGAAGCAATCGGCATTCCTTGTCCCAAAATTTGAAGGCCATTTTGGCAGACGACAACAATGAAGTGAAAGTAGAATATGTACAGGGCCCCCTAGGAGAAGGGGCGCAACTCTTAGCGTCACGCATCTTTTCCTGCAGTCTCAGCGGTCCAAAAAAAGGTATAGTGCCCGTCTCCAGGTATAGTTCCCGTTGTCAAGGGCGGATGCTAACTATACCAAATAGAACAAGGGTAGTTATCCAATAGCTATCCTAGAAATTTTCATGTGATGTACTTAACATTATTAACTCACCTCAGTACGTAAATGATGATCAGTATCGTATGGTCGTCGGAGGTTTTTGAGCTGTACAGGGTTGTACCACATACCTATACATTATTTACTCACCTCAGTACGTAAATGATGATCAGTATCGTGTGGTCGTCTGACGTGTTTGAGCTGTACAGGGTCGTACCCCACACCTATACATTATTTACTCACCTCAGTACGTAAATGATGATCAGTATCGTGTGGTCGTCGGACGTTTTTGAGCTGTACAAAGTTGTGCCCCATACCTATACATTATTAACTCACCTCAGTGCATAAATGATGATCAGTATCGTATGGTCGTCGGATGTTTTTGAGCTGTACAGGGTTGTACCACACACCTATACATTATTTACTCACCTCAGTACATAAATGATGAACAGTATCGTATGGTCGTCGGTTGTTTTTGAGCTGTACAGGGTTGTACCCCATACCTATACATTATTTCCTCACCTCAGTACATAAATTATGATCAGTATCGTGTGGTCGTCGGTCGTTTTTGAGCTGTACAGGGTTGTACCACATACCTATACATTATTTACTCTCCTCAGTACATAAATGATGCTCAGTATCGTGTGGTCGTCTGACGTGTTTGAGCTGGACAGGGTCGTACCCCACACCGATACATTATTTACTCACCTCATTCCGTAAATGATGATCAGTATCGTATGCCGTCTTCAGACGTTTTCGAGCTGTACATGGTCGTACCCCACACCTATATATTATTTACTCCCCTCAGTACATAAATGATGCTCAGTATCGTGTGGTCGTCGGACTTTTTTGAGCTGTACAGGGTTGTACCACACACCTATACATTATATACTCACCTCAGTACATAAATGATGTTCAGTATCGTGTGGTCGTCTGACGTGTTTGAGCTGGACAGGGTCGTACCCCACACCCATACATTATTTACTCACCTCAGTACTGATGATCAGTATCGTGTGGTCGTAGGACGTTTTTTGGCCTGTACAGGGTCGTCCCCCATACCTATACATTATTTTCTCACCTCAGTACATAAATGACGATCAGTATCGTATGGTCGTCGGTTGTTTTTGAGCTGTACAGGGTTGTACCACATACCTATACATTATTAACTCACCGCAGTGCATAAATGATGATCAGTATCGTATGGTTGTCGGACGTTTTTGAGCTGTCCAGGGTCGTACCCCATCCCTATACATTATTTACTCACCTCAGTTCATAAATGATGATCAATATCGTATGGTCGTCGGAGGGTTTTGAGCTGTACAGGGTCGTTCCCCATACCTATACATTATTTACTCCCCTCAGTACATAAATGATGAACAGTATCGTATGGTCGTCGGAGGGTTTTGAGCTGTACAGGGTCTTACCCCATACCTATACATTATTTTCTCACCTCAGTACATAAATTATGATCAGTATCGTGTGGTCGTAGGACGTTTTTTGAGCGGTACAGGTTCGTACCCCACACCTATATATTATTTACTCCCCTCAGTACATAAATGATGAACAGTATCGTATGGTCGTCGGAGGGTTTTGAGCTGTACAGGGTCGTAACCCACACCTATACATTATTTACGCACCTCAGTACATAAATGAGGATCAGTATCGTATGGTCGTCGGAGGTTTTTGATCTTTACAGGGTCGGACCCCACACCTATACATTATTTCCTCACCTCAGTACATAAATTATGATCAGTATCGTGTGGTCGGCGGACGTTTTTGAGCTGTATAGGGTCGTCCCCCACACCTATATATTATTTACTCACCTCAGTTCATAAATGATGATCAGTATAGTATGGTCGTCGGACGTTTTCGAGCTGTACAGAGTCGTACCCCACACCTATAAATTATTTACTCACCTCAGTACGTACATGATGATCAGTATCGTGTGGCCGGCGGACGTTTTTGAGCTGTATAGGGTCGTCCCCCACACCTATATATTATTTACTCCCCTCAGTACATAAATGATGCTCAGTATCGTGTGGTCGTCGGACTTTTTTGAGCTGTACAAAGTTGTGCCCCATACCTATACATTATTTTCTCACCTCAGTACATAAATTATGATCAGTATCGTGTGGTCGTCGGACTTTTTTGAGCTGTACAGGGTTGAACCCCATACCTAAACATTATTTACTCACCTCAGTTCGTAAATGATGATCAGTATCGCGTGGTCGTCGGACGTTTTTGAGCTGTACAGGGTTGTACCCCATACCTAAACATTATTTACTCACCTCAGTACGTAAATGATGATCAGTATCGTGTGGTCGTAGGACGTTTTTTGAGCTGTACAGGGTCGTACCCCACACCTATATATTATTTACTCACCTCAGTACATAAATGATGATCAGTATCGTGTGGTCGTAGGACGTTTTTTGAGCCGTACAGGGTCGTACCCCACACCTATATATTATTTACTCACCTCAGTACATAAATGATGATCAGTCTCGTGTGGTCGTCGGACGTTTTTGAGCTGTACAGGGTCGTACCCCACACCTATACATTATTTACTCACCTCAGTACATAAATGATGATCAGTATCGTGTGGTCGTCGGACGTTTTTGAGCTGTACAGGGTTGTACCACACACCTGGATCCACACATACCCTCCACACTTGTTCATCAACCGCATATAATCAGACAGCACCTGGCCCTTCGTATTAACTAGATTGAAAAATAATCAGTTATAGTACGGCACATTATACATAAAGTCTTAATTCAAATTAATTTGCTATTACATTGTATAACAATATTCTGACCTATCTGTAAATTCTTCAGATCACTCAAACCAATATTATTCAAAATACGGTACTATGCTATTTAACATTTGTCTTTTCACCCTTCAAATGAGGGCAAATTTACCACAGCATTGATACATAGTACACGACATGTCGAGGGCGTAACTAACACTTACCGAAAATGGATTCTACCAGTAGAGGGCAAAAGTTTGCCTGAGCGAAAGTTTCTGGTATACAGAAGTAACTTTATATGCTACATTTATATTACTCTATATCGGAGATATTAAGAAACATCCTAAAGCGTCGACTTTCTGTTAACTTTAAATTTTTCCTTCTCCTTTTCTCAATATCTGGAACTAAACGTCTTGATGTTCCTGGCTGCATTACATACAAATCTGTTCATAATTTGAAGTGAATCAGGATGATTGATTTTTGGAGTCCACATGGCAGTTGAATCTAGGTTAAATCGTTTCTTTCTTTTAAGATGGTTGATGGTTGATGTTTGGTTTGAGACAGAAGCTGGCTAAGATCATATGTAGGTATATACTAGGGCTGCAATGCTACACATATCTCACTATACGATATGTATTATATGGTACGATGCTAAAGATATGATACAAATATCTGCTTAAAAAGTCAACTTCATAATGATAATGGGTCCAGGATCTTAGACTTCATAGACTTCAATAATGAATACTATCAAAATACATTTTGATAGTATTTTCTAGTACTTTTGGGTAGGACTTGCACAGTGGATCAAATTATTACTGAAAGTTTAAAAAGTATAAGTACCCTTTTTTTTAAAGTTAAAAATTGATTGACACAGGCAAACAAAACAATTTGCTACGATACACAAGAAAGTATTGTGATACAATACAATACGAAATATCATTGCAGCCCTGGTATAAATAGGATAAGCAGGCCAGGACACTTTTTTACTGTACATGACTTACTGTCTAAATGAGATCTGCGTAGTTTCTTGAGGTCACCAGGGTGGCAGAAGTCGTACAATATTTTATTATTGATATCTTCACTGGACCAATCTGTCAGTTCGGAAACCCTATAGAGAAAAACAAACAATGGTATAGGCATTAGACTGTGAATGTTAAAAACATCTTCAAATATTTCTGGTCAAAAAAAATATTTACAGGACAGGACAATACCGTAACCCGAGACAGTTTCACCCGAAGAAATTGTTACCTCTGGTCTATTATATCTTGTAAAATGAATTTGCCAAAAGGTTGGATTCATTCTCTCAAAAACCTATTCTAAACTGTGTCACAGTTTTTGCTTCGTGGTGAAGTTGCTCATCTGTAATAGGGAGAAACAGACACAAAACATGATGGGGAGAGTGGCAGGGGGATCACACCCCATGGCCCCACCACAAACATAACAACATCACGTATAATACTGTATACTGAGAAATTCACCTTTTTCACCCTCCGTAATGACGACGAATTTCGAGCATTTGTAAATAACGTAATATACAAAGTAATTAAATGTAAAAGGTGAATTTAATATTGGGCGAAAATGGATTTTACCATGGAAGGGTGAACATTTCCCTATATGCAGTCATTTTTTGTAACCAAACATGAACATGTATTAATATGTCTCGATCTTCATGAAATCAATTTCAAACAAAGGGATAATCAGTCTTGAATACTTGACGATGCTAGGAAACTTGTGTCTTTGACAATTTACATTATTAATAGAAATAACATTCCGAATCATGTTTATGAAATTTCCCAAAAGTCCTATTTTGAAAAAATATCATTTGTTTATGGCTCACTAAGATTAGGCTTTGGACGATTATTGCTGAAAATACTTACGCTGTATCACAGTAAATGATGCTGAAGTCTGGATTGAGCCTCATAATGAAGGTGTCGCTCTCTATACGGAGTTCTGTGATGGTCGGGGGAGGCAGGGCGATGGCCAAACCCACCATACCCATGATCTGAGGGGGATGCTTCCTGTTCAGGGAAAAACAGATCTGGGGGCGCTGTTTTAGCACAACATACACAACCTGTAAAAGTCAAAAGGTCATGACACAAGTAAGTTCACAGGGTTCTAAATTTGTCCAATACAGTATATGTATTTTATTTGAACTTCATGATGTCATTACTGTAATTGCATTAACCCTTTCACCACTGTGGACCATAATGGACTCATCCAGATAAATGTAGGGTAGAGTCTACTAAAGTTGCCTGGGGTGAAAGGGTTAATGAGAATGCAACATTGTGATTGGCTGAAGTTGCAGTCACAGAATCCAACATTATAATCCAGTGTGAGTAAGTAGTACGTGAAGCGAAATCAGCCGTGGGTATTCAGCGATCACTTTTAATTATCATTTCTAATTATATATAGCAAATCAAGAATTACCTAAGTGCGACAGTTCTCCAAATATTTTTTCTTGTATAGGTTTTAGTTGTTAGTTGTGTTCAGTTACCATCCATAAAATATCATACACCTAATCGTTTGAGTAGAACCCTAGCTTTTTCAAAGAAGGTTTATATCCTAACTAATACTAATATGGGTTAATATGATTGGCAGCTGCGTGTCTGACTTACCCTGTACCCGGACGTCCTAACATGTACGCCTCGCTTTGTCAGCGTCGACTTCATTCTCAGACAAAATGACCGCTCTACCGACTTATCATTTGGCGACATCAGACAGGCTGGAGGTAAAATGTATAATAGTGGCATAAACTCAGGCAAAGTATGCAGGAGTTATTTCCCCTGATACACAATAATTCTATTTGTTGATCCACTCAGTTTTAAACTAAAACCAAAGCCATATTATTTTATAGCAAAAACATCAAATGAAAGGAAATACTGTTTTCAAGCTAATCCTACATCTTACAAAGGTTGTCTTTTCAGAAGAAAAGAATTGTGCCAGGATTTTGAAAAATAGATTTACAATGAAACCTGTCTACAAAAGCCAAGACCACACAGGGAGCAAACAAAATCAATCTAATACACAGGTTGTCCTTCATAAAAAGGTTGTTTTTATATAAAAAGCACCGTCTTGGGTATCCATTGTATGGTAGTTAGTGAAGCAGGAGGTTCATACTGACAGGAAGACTTTATGTTTAGCCAGTTGGACTTTAAAGACTATTATAATATTTCCCTACCTTGGGGGTTGGATAGAAAAATCTCAATCCAAGGGTTAAGATTCTTAAATGTCAAGCCCGATAGTGCAGAGGGCAAGATATTTAAGACTTTTACCCAAGGGTTGATGTTTTTCTGTCTTACTCCTAAAGTGGGGAATGATTATTTTTCTCCCTCATCAAATAATTTCATGAAATGCAAACATTCATTTCATAACTTCCAGCTGATCGTAGCTATAAACTGTGATCTGCTACTGTTGATGTGACGTCATGCAATTGTTATGAAAGGGAAATTACTCCATCTTTACCCCTAGGGTAAGACATAAATATCTTTCTTTGACCGGAAGTGTAGATATCTCTGTCTAATACAGGAGAAAGGTAGTCGTTAAGGCAGGTTTCAATGTAAATTATTTTCTAGTTAACATCGAACTTCATCAACTTTAAAACCATAAAACCTGTTTTTAACAGAAACAGTATAAATCCAATCTATGGTGTAGACAGACACACTTACTCACCTCTTTCTGGGAGTGGGGAGGACAGGACACAGGGTGTCGAGGGGGCCGAGCCCTCGTCTGATTGAGATCCGGGGGACGGGGCACCACTACTGCTGGAGGCTACAAGGAGAAAGAAGACAGTGTCATCAGATGAAAACTGATCATTTAGGACTTTGGTATATTCATTTGCACAAGAAACAAGCACAATCTTGAGATGTCAGACGAAGACATATGTGATATTAACACATATTTTACAAATCAGTGTTCTTCATATGCAAATGAAATTTTCTGCAACACATAACTCATCATTATCTCATCTTAACGTTAAGTTTGCTTTTTGAAAGCTTGAACGGAACAATAATGGTGCACAAAACCGCGTTAAGGGGTAAATTATCAGTTCCCGTTACCATAGCGTAAAACGGAGCTTACATGTTCGGAAACTGTTATTGTTTCTTTTTGCCAATTTGATCACAAGATAACATGTATAACTGATGAGTTCCATCCAGCCAAAAAAATCTTGGCTACTTTCATAAAATAACATCCTGAATTGTCACAGTGTGAAATACAAGACCTTGTATTGCATGGGCTGAAAACATGCCTGTATCACTGTAGTAAGATTCCAGGAACATAAGAAAAAATATTATAAACTCATTTGTTTGCAGCTGTGGTGTTGTTTTTTTAAATGGTCAATTTTTCAAATTGACTCAATGTGTCATTTGGGTAATGAAGCTAATTGATACAAATTAATCCTGGCAGAGCTATATCTGAAACGTTTGTCCAAAGCGATTCTGACATGGCAGAATACTGATTGTCTGCCTGTGTGTTGTGCCAGGCAAAAACAGACACACTTGAATTCCAGTTTGAGTGGTCTCCTGTTTGATATTCCACGGAGGCCCTGACCTCTACAGTGTACCATCACTTAACAAAAAACTCCAGACAGCTAGCTCTATATAGCATAAGTACCTGCTCACTCCCCTGCGTAAATCAAGGATATAATTTCAATGGTTCGAGGTGAAATTCCTCTCAAAATCTTTTATTATATCATATTGTGGTATACTGTGACTGTACTTATTAAAGTGCACTAAAATTTCAGCGCATTATCAATTGTAACTTGTATTTTAGCCCATTGATGAACTGATGCACCCAGAAATTGTAATAAATGTCATAGAAAACAACTGCAACCTCAATTAGCCCTACCATAATTCAGCTCAATATTCAAAGTGCAAAAAGCACCAAGATTACCGCTAAAATATGTACCTGTACTGTAAGTAAATCTAGAATCCATTTCATATTTCATGTTAGTGAATATCAAATTAAATTTAACTTATTTATTTATTTATTCTGTAATGAAACAAAATTTATCATCATAAATTAATCACTCTTTATTCGTTAGCCCAGATGATATAGTGCACAAGGTAAACGTAAATGGGAGGAAACCAGAGTACCTGAAGAAAACCTGCTTTAAAGTCTGGCAGGTAAACCTATACCATATCACACTGAATTGAAGAATAAAACCACGACTGTCTTGGTGAGAAACGAGAGTGCTGTACACTACGCCACCCGACCACCCTGATCACATCTTACCTCTGCTAAAAGTACAAATGGCAGTTGCGATTGATTTATTTCAAAGATGATAAAATGTAAAGGATTAATTTCAAAAGGACAGTGCACATTGTGATTGCTACACTACATCAATTCGATAAAACGGCAGTCTCTCTTCCTCGATTGGGACATGTAAATGAGCATGGCGTTGATTAGAACACTAATAGCCCCATCAATGGCCTCAGACGGAAGTCTCACATCCACGGTGCCAATACGGCCTTATTACGGAATGATTCACCATGGTCAAAAACCTCATCCCAGTCAGGCCAGATAGAAACAATCAACAAAACCAATTTGCAGTTTACCACAAGAATCAGCAGGTTGTCAACCAAAATAGTAAATGTGTTTGCTTCTGCCATCTTACCATGGAGATATCCATACAGACTTTAACTCATTCACCCCTGAAATTTCATTATGAACTATTCCATCCTTTGAATTGGAAGAGTTCAAATGTATCTTCAGGGGTGAATGAGTTAATTATTATCAATATAAACAAGAGGCCAAGTCTGTATCGCTCATCTGCTTCTTTTGTTATCGAAACTTACCAAAGGAATTTTCCTTCCTAACTTGAGATCGTGTTAGCCATTTCAGCTATCAACAGTACTACTTGGTAAAAGAAATGAGTAAGGAAAATATTTGTTAAAATTAAAAAATGTCTCAACCAATCAGAGGACAGGGTACGTAGCCAATTTGGATAACCAGAAAATATGCCCACCTTTCCAGGACCATGACAGCATTATTCAGTTCAAGTCTTGTTATCATGGGCTAAAACATTCGCTATTATTAATAGACTGTGAGAAAAGGGGAAATGTTTTTGTCCCTTATAAAGCCTTATCCCTTTGTTCCAAGACATTGATTTCCCTTCACCCAGGGATACTCTATATCAAATTAGATAAAGACCATGCCCTTTATTCACATATTAGTGATTTTACTTAATCCAGAAATGCTTCATGAAAAATTAGGTAAAAATCCCTTTAAACTTAAACTCCTTTATTCCTCTAGTTTTGCCCTGCTCCTCTGCCCCCAAGGGGACCACACTTTTCATTTACACACTGTCCCAAACGTGGTTTAAAATCTGATCAGTTGTTCAAGAAGTGTATAGGCTTTTCGAAAAATTGGTGACAGATGACGGACTGACACCACAATACCACATAAGCTCACCTTGGTCTATCAGACTAAATAAGCGAACTGTACAAAAGGTTAAGTGTACTTTTATCCTGTATTTACTGTATGTTACTGCGTATAGTATATCCACTATCACAAATGGTAATGATTATATAGGTATTTACATACGCAGTTCCACCCAAATAGGTGTCAATGCTTAAGTACACAAGGTCAAATTATTGTATGACTGAGTACGGTTGACTTTTGACCATAATTAAGACACAGATATGTATGATACAATGAAAAGAGTTTGAACAGGTAAAAATGTACATCTGATTTGTGAAATTGAAAAAAAAAGAAAGAAAATTAATGATAATCTTTTAATTCAGCCATCAGCTTGACAAATGCGCTATATATGTTGGACACAACTAATATTGAGTTCTATGCTGATGCTATAGTCTCCCCTAGCTAGCCCCAGGTAGGCCAAGGGAGGATCATCATTCACCTTTGATGTGGAGAGAAACCCCACCAACCATGACCACCAACATCACCTGATGTCACCGAGCCAAAGGAAGTCCTGGCATTCATGTATTTCCACATTAACGACCTCGTCCAATGCCTAATTAATGGCAACCTAGGGTCATGCTTGAGCCGTACATTACCTGGCTAGATATCTCCCTCCAAAACAGGCCAGTCAGATTTATAGCTTTGACACAGAGAATGATTTAATGGAGATTAGGGTTAAACATTTTGGTATTTGTTATTTAGTCTAGCTGTAGCCCTCCTTACAACAATTAGCTCGTGTTTTCTTGTATCGTTAAGCTTGTTGGAAGTGGGAGCCGGTGGGTGTATCAAAACAACCAGTGACGTAACAAGATGTTTCTACCGTAATCGGGACCGTATTTCACACGCTACAAGGAAGTGGCGCAGGAGACAACATGAGTCGGCCGATCGTCTCGTCGTGCCTCCGGCTACAGTGATGCTGATGTTCAGACTGTTTTCACAACTCACTTCAAACAATATCCTCAGTTTAATATATTGGTTTATAATCACATATAGCGATTTCTCTGACTAAGGGTTGTGTGCTTTTCTTATTGAGAAATTCTTCGGATCTTTGTTATTGTTAAGTCCTCAAAACAAGTTTTGTCTCTAAATCCGGCCATTTTTCCTCCGTATTTTCTTTTAACAGAGTTTTTATTTTATTTTATCTGCAGTCTCAAAACAAGAGCTAGAGTCAGGTTAGTCTGTTAACCCACACCCCTAATACAGTTGAACCTTACCAAATTAAAGACTGGCCAAGCCTAGTTTAAATATGTAGGGGTGAATGAGTTAAAAGTCTTTACCACAATGTAAAACAGACCATGACACTGATAGTCTCTTAGTCTCACTAATATGTAAAACAGATGATACCAAAGAGTGGAAAAAAGTCCTTTAACAACTAATAAAATAACAAATTGATATTCATACATTTTGCAATATAATTTGACATTCAAAAGATTCGCAATGAAAACTAATGATTTGAAAATTGAGTCAACAATAACTCTCAGAAATCTACGTAAACTTCTCATCACGTCCCATGCATACTAACATGCAGATTAAGATAAGCAAATGAAAATTTACAGAAATATTTCAGAATTCAAATTATTTCTCGAAAATTCAAAATACAATGTATAAGACATGTCAAAAATTACAATTGATTGTGGCATCTAATTTTCATTCAGGAACATAATCCAGTGTAACTTCTGCATAATACACTTTGAGAAAATTTATCTAATATATTCTAGAACACACTGAACACAATAGCACAGGGAAATTGGTTCTCCAGATTTTATGCCATATGTTAATAATGATTACTGTGGTATATATACAATACCCAAGCTGCATCCTACCACTGCACCCGGATTTGTTCGATATCTGTGCACGATGGAATTAAGTTAGGGAATTAAGTTCAGAATAATCCCTTTCTAATTTACATAAGTTGAAATCTATGACATCTATTGACGAAACTGCAAGTCAAACCTGGGAGAATATTGAATTATTTGAATATGATGTACCCTGTTGTGTAAATATGCAATGCGATTATGCCACAAATAAATATCGCTGTCCTCATCTTTGTTGACTTTTGAATGCATTTTAATATCATCATGCTTATTTTATACCGCGCTTGTGTAACGTCTATGCAGATTTTAACCCAATTTCCCTTTCAGCTTGTATAAGTAAATATTTGCTTCGATCCAAGAAATCAAATAAGTACTATTTTATGTACTTTTGAAAACATAAGCAAATCAGCATTGATTCCTGAAATCCAATTAAGTAAATCTGAGATTTGCGGGGCTCACCACTCAATCTCCTCACCGTGAATAGAGCACTACATGAATTCCTGGCTCTAACGGGCTACAGTGTCTAACACTGCTGTTCGGCAGACCTGTCACTCGTACAGCTAGACAGTAGAATCGAATGCTGTCATTGATTCACTCCAGACTAAAGCTTCGTCACTCGATTAACTCTATATGCTGCCATAATATAAGAACGAGCACAAAAATATAAAGATTCTTTAATTGCGAACTCTCCCTATTTGGGGGGCGCCTCCTGATTTTGGACCCTAAAATTGACCATTTTCAGCCATTAAACTGTTGCTGAACTATTTCTATAGTTAAATATCTTATGACTTCATCCGAAAGAACAACACAAAAGATGACTTTCTAAAGTGTTCTTTTTTACCTCGGGGGCACATACAAAAATGTACACACCTTTTACTTATGTTTATAACATTGCAGAGCACATGGATACTCCCCAATAGAAATTTCAAAAGGTTGGCAAGTATGGTAATATATCATCAAAATTATTCAAGACACCAAACATGCACTAGATACTAGAAGTACATGTAATAAATAATCTAGCAACGTATAAAGTTGTTTAAGACTAGAAAATGACTGTAAGACATGATGAATACCAACACAGACATCTTTAAAGGCTTAAACAGAACCACGGAAATGGGTAGAAAATCAAAAGAGTCAGGCCAGAACTAAAATTGTCTGTCAGACATGAATGCACCCCTTGGCCTTGTGGTTGACCTTTAAATAGCAAGAGTAACCTTGGCATTGACCTTTTGACCCTGAAATATAATCTCAACTAAGGTAATCTCCTTCCTGACCTTTATATGAAGTTTGGTGGAAATCTATCATAAAATGTAGTCGGTCGAGTCATGAAAATGAATCTTAGTGTGATGCAACGACACTGATGTGGGTAAATATTATATGCTCCTCAATAAAAAAATTGGAAACATAACCATGACGTAGATGACAGGGAACGTTTTGACTGCGTGTTGAACGGAGATAGTATTTGTATTCATCAAGAAACAGTATCAACTGTACCTGTCTTTAGACTGCTACAATAGATAGAAGTCGTTCAAAGGCTTTAGCACATTTGAACCCTGTGCCCTTGTTTACAGGTGAAGGTCAAAAACCTGAACAAACATGATAGCTTGTCCTTCATCTCAGCATGCTACTGGTCAAACATCATGACAATAGGCCTCTTAATTCAAAAGAATTATTTCAAGGTTTTAACACATTTGACCCCTTTGACCTTGAAAAAGGCTCAATTCCATTTTGTTAACAAAATTGATGAGTTTTTATCCCTACATGCTACTGGTTAAATAGCATTACCCTTGGGCTCTTGGTAAATTCAGAAGAAGGTTTTGCTACTGTTTTTACTATACTTGCTACTTACTGTGAGGAAATCCCAATCCTAAGTGTTCGGCCAGTTCTTGATGATCTTGGACGTGGACGTAGTCAAATATACTGCTGCCGGTGACCTCCACCTGTCAATATAATCACAAGGTCACACAAGTATAGAATCACAAGGTCACACAAGTAATTGTATATAATCACAAGGTCAAAAAAGTATAGAATCAAAAGGTCACACAAGTATAGAATCACAAGGTCACACAAGTATAGAATCACAAGGTCACACAAGTATAGAATCACAAGTTTTTCGAAATCATTGAAAATTGATAAGATATGTGATTTGACATCAAAAATACCACTACACTATTGATGAATATTTCCCACACTTTTGTTTCAAACTGAATACAGTATATATATATATCTATACAGTACTGTATATGTATTTGAATATCCCTACAAAATCAGTGTTAAACAGTCAATTTTGATGTTAGAAACAGGAATTATACCAATAGAACTGAACTGCATACTTAACACTGTTAGTTATATCTAAATTAATTTATAAACTATGAGAAGTGGGAGATCAAACGTCGGTGCAAAGAGTTCAGCGAAGTTGTGTGTTATCCAGTAGACAGACTCCACAAGGAATTCACAAGTCCGGCCGTAGTAGTAGAGTTAGTTATCAATAGGAAAAGATGACCTTGTCAATGTTGTGCTGGGTTTAGATGATGGCACATCTAATGTGTTGAAGCCGGTAAACCCAGCATGACATTGTCAAGGTCATCAGTTTACCTATTGATAAATTAATTTATGATAGATGCACTTCCAAACTTTCAAAAAAGCAACTTTTAATCTGTTAGCAAACATAGAAGCAATTCGTAACTAAATATCTGTCAAAAAGTATTTTTATTATGGAACACTTTCAAAAACTTGATAATTGGTTTATAAAAACTTCGTCTGCTAGATATATCTGAAATTACCATAAACTTGGGACATCTTTAGGAATGACATTCTACTGTCTTGTTTCTATGTAAAACTGTCTACATTGTATATGCTATAGATGTTTTATATTAATATGATGGCCACTGCATATTTTGTCCGATTTCACAGCTGTTCCTCCTTACACGATACTGTACTTTCAGAAGGACATTATCTTAAAAAGTTATCTCTAAGGTAAGACCTACTATCAAGTTAAAATATAATATTACATCATGTATTATGAATCCAGGCACTATTATGAAATATTTGTTCATCCTTTTCTATCTATTAGGTACGTGTCATCCATATAAGTTACATCTAGAGATGTATGTAACAGAAACTGAGTCGTTCGAATTTTGTATAATGGAAATCAAATACAAATATATATATGGAAAGAAAAAACAGAAATTTTATGTGCGAATGTGGAATTTATTCTATGCAAGTTCTACACTTCACCAATTTTGCTATTCCAGAATTGGAAATGCATATTAAAATGAAGGATGAACACTTTGGTACAAGAATACTGCAATTCATAATAGCAGAAGAAAATCATTGCAATTTCAAATTGAGAGAAGATAAGGTCAATCAAATAATTGTTGGAATCCTCAATCAAAACGGACAATGAACCGATTACCAAGTATGATATACACGATCACAACACGGATCCCTGACCATACAGATGTATAATATGAAAGTGAAAGAAGAAAATTGATATCTTTATCTGTAGGGTTTGATGTTCACCAAATTTTCAAATAATTTTCAAATAGAGATTAAAAAAAAAGAGAGGTCTTTTAGTTTTAGCATACATTTGTTGAAAGCATTATTTGGGGGGGGTACTTTGTCCCTTACCATACAGAAAACTAAGATATAAAACTTAAGGCGTTAGATAGAGCTTCAGAGACGTAGATAGTTGTAACATGACTAAACCCAGGCCTACTGAGGATACGTGGGGTTGGTACGATAACAGTGGCCACACCACCCCGCTGATAACCTCGCCCATCACCCCGAAGATTCCTCCCCCAGATACACATTTAATGAGGTGTTATTTCATTCATGTTTTTTGTTCAGATTAAGATTAGTCCTATAAAAGCCAGACTTCAGCCTTCTCCTCTGAGTGTGCTAATCTGGTGAGGAAAATCTAAATTGATTTTACCAAAATACAGAACCATTTTTTCATTTATTTTTTAAAGTAATGATCAATGACCGTATGTTGCTGGTTGTACCCATTAAAACTGTTTAACACAATTTTTAGATATTTCACTTTCATTTTTATTTTAAACCCATAAAAATAATAATACAATGGTATTATTCAAACAAAGAAAAGGAAATTGATCTTCAGATTAGGGCTTGCAGATGCTAATACAGATATAATTTATGAAAGCTAGCTGTTATCCTTAATAACTGATGGAATGAATTAGAGAAATTTTACTACTGAAATACAAGATTGCATCAGAAAATAAACTGGAGACAATCAGTTTTATCATTAACAAAAAGGTTAGATGCAGATTTTAACATTCTATTACTTCTGAAGATCAAACAGCCTGAAATTATCGCATACATTTTCATACATCATAACTCTTAAAGTACTGCCAATACATTTTTATATCATTTTCATGTCTTTTTTAGTTTTCTAGTTTTGTTAATAAAAGTTTAATTTCAATTGTATAGTTGGTATTATTTTTACAGAACATTGAAGAAATAATGTTTAAAACTAACCAGGTTTTCCACATATATAATCGTACAAATATGTCTTTCGTGTACAATATGAAACCCAATGTACAATATGAGGACAAAAAAACATTTTTGTTTTTGTAATGTAAACAAGTATTAGATCATTATCAGAATCTACAGACAAATTACCGCCCTGCTCTAATGGCAGGTGAAATGGAGAGAAGTATTTAAATTATTCTGATGGGAGAGATATACATCTTATCAATTCTACAAATGCTTAAACTGTTAAAATATGTGTGAAATAACATGAATTTGCATCATAAACTTCTCTTTTAAAATCCACTGTATGTCATTTTAATGCCGAATTATGCAAAAAATATTCATTTATTCGAATAAAAATGTGTAATGTATTTACGCTTAGTCGAGTTATTCTAGAAAGCGATGATCTGTTTGACGCATTATTTCACTAAATGACAACACCAAATGACAAAAAAATGTACCTGAATCTCAAAACGATGCATATTTTGAAATACATCACATTTAGAAAGTTGTTCAGTGTATTTTATTACCATCTTCAGCAAGCTTTCATACATCCATGGCTTAAAGTTATAATTTATCAGGAAGTTATGTCTTGTGTACCTATAAGACGACAATGAAGCTCCCAAAGGACAATGTTAACGTAACAATATTGACAATTATGACCACATGACTCTTGGATAGTGTCAGATACTTAATGCGATGCAAGTATAGTTTATTCAAATATTGACATTAATATCGACAGTATTTTAAGTGGCCGACATAAAATCGTTCACACGTTATCGAATTAATTGATATATGAAACAGAATTTATAATTTTAAATTTTGTAATTAAATGAACAAGTTAACAATGACATGAATTCATACAGATCACTATTAACCCTTTCACCACTGTAGACCATAATGGACTCATCCAGATAAATGCATGGTAGAGTCTACTAAAGTTACCTAGGGGTGAAAGGGTTAACTACATGTCAGTGAAACGCTTTAATATATTCCTATATAAACATAAATATTACATAAAATAATATCATTTCCAATGTTATATATATATATATTTTCCTAATTATTTACAAATAATGTAAAACAATAAAGCACTACAAAAAAAAACAACATATGAATGCAAGTAACATCAAAATGCAATAGTATCTGGCTCCAGTTTCATGAAATATTCCTCAACATAATATTTTGGAAATTCCTGAACTTAAATTTTCCATGGGAAAGCATTGCTAAAATTAATTGAAATTAACTTAAGTAAAACTTTAACTCCAATATTAATTATGCTTTCCTTATGGAATAACTTCAGTTCAGTTATTTCCTAAAGGACCCCCAAACCACTGCCGAAATATGAAACTATATATTCGAAACTTATTTATCTGGCATGACTATAATAGCTTTGATAAATCATTTTTTAATAGAAAAGTATATCTTGCGGAACTTTTAGGAAAACACAACGGAGATAAAACCAACAAAATATAATCAACAAATGTGTTCTGCCAGTGCAAAATATTCAGTTGGTCCAGACATGGTTCGAACACTGGCCCCGGGTCACTTCAGATTGTTATACCATCGCTGACACGGATTTAGCTACCTGGACAACGGAACTGTACAGGACCCAATGTGTAACAGTTATATCTAAAAGGAAGTTACGGGGAAATACTTGCCGCAGTTAAACTTTCATCTTTTTCCGTAATGAAGGCAATTAAACTTATCATTACAACAAGATAGTTAATAAACAACTAAATAAACATACCAGTAGTAATCAAATGTGAAAAGCAAAATAACAGAAGACTGGGCGAATGTGGAATTTATCGGTGTAGGACGAAAGTTTGACAAGGTGAAACTTTCTGGTAGACATTTTTCATTTTTAAATAAATTCTTGCCTGTTAATAAAATCTGTGGTAGTATTCTCACTTGTTTTTAAACATTTGTGATAGACAATTATATGGTGTCCATAAATTTCTATAGCAGATATATATCATAATAAATTTGAATTGACTTTGAGACAGGTAATAATTTAACAGGTATCATGTACCTTATTTCTCAGAAGCTCCAAAAGACATTTCTCAAATAATTTTGGGAAATAAAAGAGTTATTAAAATCAAACTGAATTGGTTTGATGTGAAAAAACCATATAAGTCAAGAGAGTTGTCTCGTAACCTAAAGAAAATGATTTATAACATGATACATATTCATTGCATGAACATGTAATTTGAACATCATGAATATTCACAAATCATTTTAAACATACGTAAATTAAGACAGATCTCTTTATTTAAATCCATATTTAGATACGTGACTTTGTCTGCTGATCTGTATAAACCACAACAGACTTTTTCACCCTAAAAACACAGTAACTTAATTAAGAGAACAAATATTTGCATTTTTTGAATGAAGAAAATAACTTTAACCCTTTTTTCTACACATGCATCTTTCATGATAAATTTCTTTT